AACTGTACCGTGGCTTAACATTATAGTTTTTGTTCCACACAAGCTGTCTTGTAGCCATAAACCTCATCCAGACTAGGATCCCTGCGAAGCCCAGTTGACCAGCACTTTTTGCCTCGTCCACAAGATCTGCTGCAATGTTGAATCTAGAAACAAAAAAAAAATGGCAAGATTCACCCCTTCAGAAAATCGAAGTGTTTCCGGAAGTTGCAAATCACTTCATGCACAAAAGAGATGTATCACTGGGAATATAAATTTGGTGATCGTGGAACATGGATCAATCAATGTATTAGTGATCATCGTATATGGATCAAGGGCTGTAAGCTGTAGAATTTTATATCAATTTCTTTGACCTCATAGGTGACAAAAATTAGTCTGAAACGTGAACTAAGAACCAGGATGCTTGAGCATAAAACTGACCGATGCATGAAAGACTTCTGGGCCTCACTCTCTAAATCTGCGATTTTATCCAGTAAATGCTTGGCTGTACCTTTTCCATCGCCATAATCCTTTCAAACGGAACAATTAAAATTTAAGCATCTAGGGGACAATAGGATGTAAATGAAAGTGTTTTTTAAAAGACCACGGAGGAAGAGGAACCTTCTGAACATGTTTTTCTTCTTTAGCAAAGTCCACATAAAAGTCACTGTCATTATTTTTAATCCACCTTTCACCAGCATTGAGTACAAATGGCATGCCCTTGTAGCTGTCACCTTCTATTTCCAGCTCAAAAGTTTGAACCTAAATTTTTGGTTAACATGAGGGCTGAGGCCATTTACATACCATCTCTGAATCCAAATGCTAGTAGAATTATTATATATAATAGATTCGACAAGTCATACCGGACTAGGAAGATCTGTTGAAGTAATGGTCAGTTTTGTATTAACCGCACCACGTACTGGCAAAGAGTTTGGTGGCAGTATATCTGAAGGTGGGTCCTGCAGTGTCAATGACTCATAAACTCAGACCAAGACCAAACCAGACATGTGATTGAGAAGGAGCTGATCTTAAAGTATGTTCTTGTTTGAAAAATAAAGAAGAAATATCTTACCAACCATTCTCCACCCTTTTGAGACAAAGCCCAGTGAAGGGTAACCGGCTCTTTGAAATCGGTTGCCACATGAATTTTCGTCTTTCCGGAAAGTTTAGTAACAAACACCTATATAGAGGGAGTAATAACTTGCCATTAGAAGATACTTGTGGATGTATATCTAACCGGAATAGAAATAGAAAAGAGAGCAAGATAGTGATGCTATCAGCTGACCAAAATCGCACTGCCTTCAAGCTTGAATGTTTTCTTGCTAAAGACTGGAGTGGTTTCTTGTTCCTCCTTTGCTTTGGCGTATATCTCCAGGGTTGTTAAGGACCGTGGTTCAGATGAGGATTTGGATTTTGGTTCAACAGAATCAGCAACATGCTTATAGATAAGCTTATTCAGGTCCCTTTCCTTGCGCTGGATTTTCTCAGTGTTATAATTTTTTTTACGCTCTGGTTGCTTGGAAATTTTTTTCTTTTCCTTCCGTCCACTGGATGAAGTCCCATTAGACTTTGGGGATTCATTAGTGTTATCTTTCTTCAACAACTTTGCTCTGAGATCTTCCACTGAAGCACCTCGCATCATTTCCTCCTGTAGCTCCATACGGGCGGCTTCATACTCCTCCTATTGAGCAGAGACTAATTATTCTGTTTAACTAAGAAATAATGGATATACCCAAAATGCAGAGTACTTGATATAAAAACTGAGATTTATACATGTACAACGTCTGACTTACCTTCTCTTTCTCAGGGGTGTACATTTGTTTACCCTTACGTTCCCATCTAAGATATGCTTGGATCTGTACAAGATCTTCAGGAACAGAAACATTTTGTTTCGCATTCCTTTCCGTTGGTAAGTTTATATGAAAATTCTGACCATTATTTTTATACCTGCATATGTTTTAGATTATGAGAAACGACAAAAATTATAAACAGAATTAGGTTCTCTACTCAGGCTTAGTTAGTAAGAAGAAGAGAAAACAAGCTTACCATTTGTTCCGACTCTCGTCAAATATAAGGAACTCAATAGCGTGTATGGCCGGATCATCTATCTCTAGTTTAAGGTGAGAATTGCCACCGGACTGCAAATGAGAACCCAAAGCATCATTTGAAAATCTTAAGTCACACTGGTATCAGCTGGAAATCATACCATCACAAGTAGCGCTGTAATGTACGCCGAGGAATGAATTCAAAACTTACTTTTACAAATGGAGTTCTAAGCGCACTGTTCTTGTAGTTTTGAGTTCTATCCGGAGAGCGAGAAGGTAGAACCCAATTTCTGACACGGAAAATAAGAAAGAAAGTTGATTATACCATGTGCCGTAACAAGCTTTAAGAAAGCTATTACCTAGGAAAGTTGAACTTCATTTGACAAGGACATACTCTTTGTTGTCACGAATTGCACCCCAGTGTAGAAACAGTGAGTCACTTGTATATGCTATCTGGATATTTACTTCTCTTACAGTTGTAGAAGTGACTTCAACCTATTCAATTACATTCATAAAACCTAACATTGCGTAAATATTGTGGCTACAAGTCCGAACAAGATATAAATTCCCATTATATGTAAGGATATACTTACCAGTAAGTCGATATTACCGTCAAGAGTAAATTTCTCGGCTGCCTGTTAAAAGGATGAAACTTTTTAGTACATATAGATATGATAACAATCTTATGCATTCAATTGGAAGAACAATGTACAAGCAAGCAGACAAAACTTTCATTCCACACAGAAATGTATATGATTCAGGTCCATGGACATCAAACGTCTAAATTGAGTAGTTAGAACCAAATACAACATTGCAAACAATGTCAATACTGGTGAAAAGTAAATCCATAAGAAAAAGAAGTTTTTGAACCTGAGGATCCATGGCAAGCACAGCTCGTGGAACAAATGAGAGAGGTCTTCTTCCAGTTTCAGTGATCAGACTCCGTCCTGCCTTCTTAAGACCCTTCCCGTAGAGTTTTGATCTGCCAATCTTCCCAACAGCCGAATTTACCGTTGAGGTTTGGTACACAGACGAGTTGAGCTTGTTTTGATGGTCAAAGTTAAGAGGACGAATCAAAGCCCGGTTTAGTAAGTTATGCACTGCAGAGTTACTCATGCTTTCTTATCACTGAATCAAACTTGCCGGATCTGTTAAGCAAAGTAGAGATTATATTATATAATAACAAAAACAATGAAGCTTTTGCAAAAGATGTATAAAGGAACAAGTTATACTATTTGTCTCAAAAAGAAGAATCTGACAGAGTTTAGACAAGAGAACCACCCAAAAACACTTCTTTTTTTCACTTTGTATAGAAATAGTTACTTCAGTATGCAAATGGAACATGTGCAATTTACACTAGGAAGAAAAGAATCGTCTTTTATAGTCAAACAAAACAGAAAATTCTACAATCACAAAGAAAACTTGCAATTTGAATCAAATAACAAAAAACACGGAAAGCAAGAAATTGAAGGTAAATTTCAAATAAAAAAGTTACCTGAAGATGGAACCGAAACTTCAGATTACGAACGGAGACGAAGAATCTGAATAAAACCAGAGAGAGAGAGAGAGAGAAAGAGAGAAGATCCCAGAATTTGAATGATCTTATGGATGAAGTGACGACTGGGGGTTTCTTCGCTCTTCACTCACTCTCACACACACACACTCACGTGTAATTGAAGTAAGAACGACACTTTATGCTGCGGATGATGACGCGTGGCGCATCGTGATTCGAGCACGTAGAAGGAACGGCACGGATAAAGAGAGAGAGCCCAGTGCTCGTGGGATTCTTCTCAAACGAGAGATGTGATACGTTGATGGACGGTATCTGTGGACTCCACTTTTTTTTTTTTTTTTGGGTGATATTTTCTTATTTTATACAGAATCTTCTCACCGTTGATTTTTTTTTTTTTGTTATTTTCTTTCTTTTTCTGTATTCCTGTTTTTGTCTTTTTGTTTTGATATTTTTGTGCTTCGTTCTCTTGTATTTTTTTTTTGGTCGACATGTTTTTTTTTCTCTTGTGTTCACAAACCACGAATTGCAGAAGATATTTTTGTTTTATCTTTCTATTCTTGTAGTGTCCAAAGCCCACTTGTTCAATCATGTCATCCTAGCTAAGCTTATTTGGTGTTTTTGTGTGGTGCTTCTTCTACAAAGAGTTTTACACATTGTGAAAAGAAAAATTGTAATGTTAAGATTGTTGTGTGTTCCAAATTGTGTGCTTATATAGTCCAATATTATTCAATCCAAATCAAAGCAATTCACGTTTTATACCTTTTTAAAACACTTAAACCATTAACCGGTTATCCATCCGCTTTGGCTAAACCCATTGAAACATGAGCGAGACCTATCAATTTGTATGGAATAAGAATATTATTGAATGGTTCCTTAATCAAATCAAACTATATTTTATATTTCAAGGAAAAGAGTTAAACACCATTTTTATATGGCATTAGTTGTTATATAACCAACATATGATATAGCCAAATTATTCATTTTTTCAACGATGCAAGTTTTGATGGATCCTAGGAAAAGTAAAACATAATCGCATGTATTTACTTTCTAAAAACATCTTCACGATATTCATATCAATAATGAATTACTTATTGTAGTTTAATTACGGAAAACAATACTAGTAGTTGTGTACTCTACTAGGTTTGTGTTAGTCTTGTTGTTTAAACTTATACAAATGTATGTTGGTGAAAAAGTAAAGTGGTTCAAGAAATGAGAATGGAAAACATTTCTATTGGCAAATTCTTGGAATTACCATGAGAAAAATCTTCTAGCGATTATTAATTACACGAAATGAAATATAATTAATTACACCCAGTGGCGTTACATACGAATGATGGATCAACAAACAGTTCTCCCAAAACAAAAACAACAAAAAGAAACCCAAATTTTAAATTTGTTAAGATTTTTTTATTTCTTCTTTCTTAATTTAGACAAATTAATTTGTTTTTGTTTTGAGAAAAAATAATCATCAAATGTTCTTTTTAATCGATCATCTAATCAATGTAGACAACGTCAAGCAATTGCTGCTAATTTTTCTCAAGTCAACCACTGCATTCTGGATCGCATTAACCTGACGTGTTTCAATAAACCCGTCCACACATGCACCGTAATCAGACACTGCCGCAGTTAGATACGTGTTCATCGCCGGCACATTGCGTTTCCTTATGCTCTTTCTCGCGCTCGCCAAATTGTAAACCGCATCGCTCAGTGTCTCGTAACACGTGTTGACCGCTTGGTTACCGTTTTTGAACCTAGCTGCTTCGGCTAGAGCTAGTTTGGTCTTAGCCTCCAAAGCCTGGATGGTTCGGTGCGTGGCTTTTCTAGGGCTCGTGACACGTTTCACCAGAGGTCGGCACAAAGATGGATACGCGGTGTGAGAGCAGAGGTTGATCATACGCGACTCCGCGACTTGACCAGCCATGAGAAAGATCAATACGGCGGCGGATGCCGCGACAGCCGCGAAACGCAGCTGGAATGTGTCGCGGCCCGCCATTTTATTAATATTTATTTATGTATTTGAATTGAGAAGAAATTAGCACCAGGTATTTTTTCAATGCAGGAGTTAATCTTGTTATATATAGACAAGTTTTTTTGGTTTTGAAATTGTTGGTGGTGCGCGTTTTGCGTTATCTCGTTTTATTTTGGTAGTGTATAATAATGTAATGCAATCTGAGGTTTATCTTGTTTTAAGGAGATTATCTTCGTAATCTTTTTTAAGCATAGGACAATGCTTCTTTGATACATTAGTAGACTACGAAAACAAACTTTATCATAAAATGTTATTATATGATAACTTAAGTTTTGATTTGATTCATACTTAGTTACTTACCCTAGCCTCAACAAAGAACAAGAAAACAATAAAACTAAATTAAGAAATGTGTTCATAATTTTTCGTTTTAAAGACGATAACAGGGGAAAGTTCCGAAACGTTGTCGGAATTAGAGTCATGAGTTCATAACCATGAATCAGGAAACAAAAGTTACTCAAGAGTTCAAAAATAAGAAATGCTCAGATACCAGAATGAGAAACAGAAATCTAATGGTTGAAAAATAGATTAGCAGCAAAGAAATATTTCATTCTATCTGAACAAGATGTTCGTTCATGTGCCGGAACTTGCAGATATCATCGCAGAAATCATCTGCACTGCTGTGATTGCTCTTCATCTGAAGAATCCTTATCACCATTCGTTTCAGACCTCTTGCGTATTTCAAAAGTGATTCAAGCGTGTTCATCTTCTGTTCTGCGTTCAGTGGAGATCTCACTGTGATAACAACCTCTTCCAAATACGGTATTGCAAATCCTGTCTCAAGCTGCAAAGAGAATGGAGGTTACATTATTGGAAAAAAGACTTTGACTTCATGGGGAAGGTGTCTGATTAAGAAGAGATTAATTTTTACCTTCTTAAGGCTGTTTTTCTGGCAAAGTGCAGCAAACATTGCTCCATGGATGTCGAATGTTTGAAGCTTTGGATGGTTATTGAAGAACTCGACAAAATCAATCTCAGGGAAAGGTTGAAGAGCCTCATTGCCTGTGAATTCGACCTTCATAAACAGATGCTTCACGTCTCTTGCTTGCTGCAGTATCATGCATATCGCATCCCAACACCATTGTACACCTCGAATTGACAAGGCCTCAAGCGATGAAAGGTTATTGAAATCTACCATGTAGACTCTCCCTGTTAACCAATCAGAGACAAAGTAAGACAAATGAGATCTGCAGATGGTAATGGAAGAACCAAACAAGTTGAAACTCAAGAATCATTATGCTTACCACCAAGATTTGAGATGGATAGGTTCTTTAAGAATCTGGTATCAGGGACACGGATCCAGCTACAGCCTTGAACATCAAGGGACACTAATCTCGGACTCGTGAGGGCTAGCAAGCTGTTACCTGGTCCATAGAAATCCAGCTTACAGTGCTCCAAGTATGGCAGATCGATTGATATGGATTTAACTCCCTCACAAGCTAGTAGAAGCAAGTTACTCAGATTTGGGCATGCACGAAGAGCATGACACAGTGCGGAATCATCCGTTCTTGCTCCTACTATTTCGAGGCAGCGAAGGTTTGGGAACATATCCCACTTAGGAGGGCTCATCATTAAAACACCCCAAAGCCTCAAAGTCTCCAAATTCTTGGCCACACCAATGCAATCAAGCTTCAAAGGGCCTTCTACAATAGCCTCTTCGCTAGCGAGATTATCCATTCTTAGCTCCAATAGCCTAAGAGATGAACTGACATGCATCATCCAAGATGCTAAGCCCTTGCTAGTGAATGGGCTATACACCACAAGCTTCTCAAGACGACGAGAAGAAGAGATCATCTTCCGAACAATAGTGTCAGAATGATCAGTCTCCATGATGCTTTCGAAAGAATTCCGGGGGAATACAATGCTCTTAACAGAGTCTGTTGACTCTTTCCATCGCTTGGAAACACAGTTGCAAGCAGCCACATCCCTTGCAGCAGTCAGGTTGGAAAGAATGTATTGAAGAATCGCATCAGGAAGAGAGTCCATCTGGCTGAGACATTTCATCGAACAGTTGGTAGTCAGCTAATGAACACAACTATATACAAAAATTCTCGTAAATGCAACAAGTATTCATCTTTATCATTGGCATAATCAATCCATGAATATCAAACATGACAAAGCTTCTCTACAAGTAAACCCCATAATTTCGCAGCACCCATATTTTAATAAATGCAACACGACTAGAGTGTAATACGCATTTTAATGTGTACTAGATCTTGACTTAAGAAACATTCAAGAGCCATAAATCCACACAAATATACAGTTGAGATATGAAAATCGAGCCGCTCGTATAATAATAAGAAATACCCAAATACCAGATAGAATCAAGAAAACCCTAGGATGACATTTCTACCAGAAAAAAATGTTATAATCGATAGACAAAGAAGAAGAGACAAAACCCACATTTGCAAAACTATCTACAAGTTATACAAATCCACAGATTCCCAAAAAATCAAGTCACAGATTAGATCCCGAGCATTGGAAGAGAAACATAAAAGCAATGGAACATAAACAGTAAAGAGAGATTCATCTTCAAATTATGTGGATAAACCCTAAAAATGAGCTCCTTAGTGACAGGGAATGTAAATAAATCCCAGCACAGGTGAGGAAAAGGCAAAACCCAAAAACAGTAGAATCGAAGAAAGCAAATAGATTTTTGGTTGGGAGAGGTTCTTACTGAATGAATCTCTTAAATCTGGGTCGACCTAGAATCTTGTGTGTGAGAGAGAGAGTGAGAGAGAGAGAGAGAGAGAGCTTCGAAATCTCAGACTCTGGGAAAATCTCAATCTGAGGAGAGGGATTGAGAGAGTGAGGGATTTGGGTATTATTTGTAAGAGAGAGAGAGAGAGAGAGGGTGGCGCGTGAAGAGAGACGGAAGGCGGAGTTTCAAATTTTGAAAAGAGATCTCTTTCTCTTTTCAAATTCATTTCGCAGCTTTTCCCTTTTTTTTTTTTTTTTTAATTTCAAACAGAAAAACTACAATTTGGACTTTGCAATTGCATCATCATTTTTTTGATAACCCAGTGTCCAGACCACACAGTGATCCGACTAGCCCACTGGGTCTAAGCCAGCGTGCCTGAGATTTTTAAACCTCCACTTAAGGGCCCCCCGGAACTGGTGGTCTGGGACGCTACGCCCCGCAGGTAAATTGCGCAGTGGCCAAGTGGAGATCTAGCAATTGCGCGCTTGCGGAAAATCGATCCCTGGCCTAGACCAACAGGGCAACTCCTCCACAAGTGGCAACCACTAGACCAAGAACACTTGGTTAATTGCATCATCATCAGATTCAACTTTGCATAGTATATGTTATTATCAAAATAAAATAAAGAAAGATTCAGATTTCAAGTATTTACCTAAAAAAAAAAAAAGGTTTTTGAAGCTACAAAAATAAAATAAACTTTTTTAAAAAGAAGTAAATATAAGGAATATATCCAACTAAAAAGAAAAAAATCTCTATGAAATGATCATTCTTTACTGTGTAAGTAGGAAACTTAATAAAAAGGGAAGATATCAGTTTTTACATTTTTCTAACAACTTTTTTTTTTTTGACAGCACATTTTTGTAACAACTTCAACTTATATATCTTTATTAAGTAATATTGTGAAAAGAGATGTTATAATAGGTAATGCTACATACTGGCATCCAACAAATACTGCCACATGGCTCCTTTTATTGATTATTTTCTTAATTGCATTTGTATTTCTTTACTTATTTAGAATATATCAAATTAATTACAAAATTTATGTATCATTTTACTTTTTATACTTTTATTTTACTAAATTTCTAAAGTATACAAAAGTTCTTTTCTTTTCAAAAAATTGATTTTATAAGTTATACTGTTTAAAAATTAAACAATAATCAATAAAAAAGTATAATTGAAAATAATACAGAGACTAGCTACTGTAATTAATAAAAATAAGTATATCCATAAGTATAATCAATTTATTCTTCAAAATATTATTACATATTTTGATTTGTGAAAAAATTAATTCTGACATAGTCGAATTTATTCTTTTATTATTGACCTGAAATTAAAAAGTATAATTTATGCAACTATGTTATGTAAATGAGTTAGCATATTTATGTCTTAGTTAACTGACTATTCGCGGTTTTTTTTTTAACTTATAGATTACCCGCGGTTTTTCAATAACGTATTATCTACGTTTTCTTTTAATTCGCGGTTTTTTTTTAAAACTTACAGACTATCAACAATTTTTAAAACTTATAGATTACCCTCGATTTTTCAATAACGTATTATCTACGTTTGCTTTTTATAACGAATAATCCATGTTGTACATAAAGACAAATTAATTGATGTTTCAAAAGTGATTTTAAATAGAAAAATACATATATTTTTTGGTAAAAAGGATTTCAGATAGACAGCACTACACTAATGTCTAAACATTTTCAAAAATACTATACATGAAACATTTTTTATTTATTAAAAGATTATCTCCCAAATTGTCTCTAATTTTTACTGTTAGCATTGCGTCATAAAGTTACAATATAGAATAAATAGTGGGATCATGTTTTAGTCTCTCACACCACCATCCATCACTAATAAGCTTCTTCTGCTCAAAGTTGGTTGAGCCAACTCCTTCCGTTTTCTTCTTCCTCAAGACAAACCAGCTCTTGCAATGAAAAAGCAGTCGAAGGAGAACGCTCTCGCTCTTCAGCAGGAGAATCTCGACCTTGAGAACCCTCAACCTTCTCGATCCTCCGGTGGTCGGAGCTGTTCCTCTGCTTTCTCTCGTCTCGTTGGTTTCCGATGTCTCATCGTTTTGGTCCTAAGCTGTGCGATTCTTCTCTCTGCGATCTTCTGGCTGTTTCCGCGTCGATCGGTGTCTGAATTCAAAGCTGATGGGACAGTTAAACTCAATGGTAAGCGTCTTCCAACAGAAGTTTTAAACTTTTTGAGGATACATGTTGTATGATCTCTCAGTAACTTACTAGGGTTCTTGAATATTCTGGAGTAAAGAATCACTGTTTTGGCAAAGATTATACAGAAATTAAGAGAACCCTTTTTGATTAGTTGCAGATTTTTTAGTTTACTATCCTTGAGTTTTGTTTTGATCTATAGTTGTTGCTTAAAGGTGGAGACTTTAAGTCTACAAATTCAGTGCGGCACTTCTCATTTTTTATGCAAATTCTCATGACTTCCTTTATTGTTCGGATTTAGTTCTAAGATCTTGTATGATACACTATATCTCAATGATCCTAGTCCTTAATGACTGAAATTTTCTTCTTATTTCTCTTAAACCAGCTTCAGTACAAGCTTCCTTTAGACTTAAAAAACCAGTTTCTGAAGTTGTCCCCCATAAAGGAAAACTAGAGCATGATATCCTTCGGAGCATAGGTCTTTCGAACAGCAGCAAGGTATAAATTTTCTCGAAAACTTATGCAATGTAGTGTTTGTAAGTTGTACTTTGTGAGCTCTAATATCCATCTACTGTTGAACAGGTGACTATACTGTCTCTGAATCAATCAGGTGCATCAAACTACACAGATGTGGAGTTTGCAGTTCTTCCTGTCCCTCCTGACCATGAAATAAGCAATCACTCGTTAAGCTTACTGCGATCGTCTTTTGTTAAGCTGTTTGCTAAAAGATCGAAGCTGAAACTCACCACAAAAGGTTTCGGGAAGCCAACTTCTTTTCAGGTTTTGAAATTTCCTGGGGGAATAACTGTAGATCCACTGGAGCCTATCCCTGCCTCTGGACTAGCAATGGTTCTGTTTACCGGTACTATCAAAATTTCGATATCTAAGGTACAAGATAGAGTGGATCAGCTAAATGGTCAACTTGAGCATATGTTGAGTTTGGGGCTATATGAGAGTATTCATTTCCAATTCACAAATAAACAAGGATCTACCATATCACCACCGGTAACTCTTCGGGTTTATGTTGCTTTCACCATGAGAAGACATCTTCAGCAGAGATTGGACCATTTTGCTCAGATCATTCAAACATCCCGTGCTAAAAATCTCGGTCTAGACGAGGCAGTTTTTGGTGAAGTCAAGAATATAACTTTCTCAACATACCTGGATGGCAAAGTTCTTGATTCTTATTTGGAATTGGCACCAGCACCAAATCCTTGATTCTGATATGAAGCTTCTTTCCAAACTTGACATGGCAGTTTATCTTTACCTATTATAGGTACCTAATAATTCTTTTAGCAAGGACGTGTTATTAATGTCTCTTGTCTAATATATTAGAGATCGGTGACTAGTAGATAGCACCATCTCACTTCTAAGTAATTCTGGCAGAATCTAGTTAGCTTTAGAACTAATTGTCTCATCGAGTTTGTATGAAACAAAGTTCTTTATTCTAATGAGATGCAGCTTGAGTTTACATATTTGCATATTGAGTTTATATAGCCTCCCTATAGTTTGTCACAAATGGAATATCGCCATTTTCTTTGAATCGGTTTAGCTCTTCCTCTAGCATCTTAATTACTTCATCTTTCTCTGCAAGAGTCTCTAGCAATGTTCTATTCTCTTTACTAAGAGCTTGAAACTGGCTGATGATTCCATCTATCTTTACTTCAATGGCTTCATCACTAAGCTCAAACGCAGTCTCTACAACCCTCAGAACCCGCCACAAGCTTACCACCACGATGAACCCGGTTCCTTTCTTCTCAAGAAGCACCTGGAGAATCAGAGCTACAATTGCAAGTGCACCATCCATTACACAACCAGGTTGTATGAAGAATGATTTCCCCATAGCAACAGCCAGAGCCATGGATTTAACGGCGAGAATGCTCAGAATCGCGGTTCCTCCCCAACGGAACCATTCATTCTCGGTTTCGTTTTTCTTGACTGATGTGCAGGAGAGCAGAGAAGAAGATAATTCGAGGGACGTTAAGATAATGTCGAGAGAGAGCAAGAAGATGGTGAAAAGGTGAACTTGGTATGACTCTAGGAACTCTAATAAATTGATTCTCCATTTTTGTTTGATGGAGATGAGTTCTTCTTGTTGTTGTTTTGAGGAAAAGATGCAGAGTTGCCTCCATTTCCGTCGTCTGCACCAACTCTTGATTAGGTTTTGGATGGAGAATTCGACATGATCAACTGTTCCGGTGTTGATGGTGTTCATCGAAAGATGAAGAAAAGCTTTGGAGGTTGTTGGTAAATGGGTGATATGAGCTTTAAAGGAAGGCAACCATTTTTAATGGGTTTAGGAAATTAGTTTTTATTTGGAAAGATGACTTGAAAGGCAAGTAAGCCTTGAGATATGATGCAAGGCTTTAATTATTTAAGGACGAAGATAAATAAGCCGAGTTTTCTGTTGGTAATTAGTTAGAGAGAAGCTTGAGATATGATATAAATTATGTGAAGTTACCATTTCCACTATCCCATTGACAAAATTTTAAGAGAAAAAAACTACTAATTTCAAAATATCTTTAAGAAATTTGCTAGTGACCGTAATATTGGTTGGGAAAACTCATACACTAGGCTATTATTACAAGACCATTCCTTCGTGACGCCAATAAATAATGCAGAGAGATTTGATTATTATTAGTTTCAACGTGGACAAGTTTATTTTGAGCCTTTTTTTCTCAAGACTTCCATTTCGTTTTTGCATTGACTATGATAGCAAATTAGCAACAGCTTTCATATCAAAACTCATAAATTCTTAGATCTCTCTTTTACTGATTGCAAAAGTGTGAGACATTTTTTCAGAGATTTGAATCCATGGCGGCGGCTGCAAGTGGAGTGCGTAGGATCAAGCTAGGAAGCCAAGGTCTTGAAGTGTCAGCGCAAGGTCTTGGTTGTATGGGACTTTCCATCTTCGATGGAACCACTAAGTTAGACGCAGATCTAGTTGCTCTCATTCACCATGCCATTAACTCTGGCATCACACTCCTCGACACCTCCGACATTTACGGTCCCGAGACCAACGAGTTGCTCCTTGGCCAGGTTCGAATTCTAGATATCCTATGTTTGTTCATACTCTATTGATTTTGTAATTGTTTGGTTATGTGAATGTAATAAGGCTTTGAGAGATGGGATGAGGGAGAAAGTGGAATTGGCAACCAAATTTGGGATTCTCGTTAGAGATGAGAAATTGGGTTACAGGGGAGATCCTGCCTATGTGAGAGCTGCGTGTGAAGCGAGCTTAAGGCGTTTAGGAGTTAGCTGCATCGATCTCTATTACCAGCATAGGATCGATACCACTGTCCCCATTGAAGTCACTGTAAGCTTTTTCTGGCCAATCTTTCTTTTTTCTTGAATCCATGAGCTGATTGTTATGTCCTGTCATTTCAAAGATTGGAGAACTAAAGAAGCTAGTTGAAGAGGGTAAGATAAAGTACATTGGTTTGTCTGAAGCCTCTGCCTCAACTATAAGGCGAGCCCATGCTGTTCACCCGCTAACGGCCGTGCAGTTGGAATGGTCTTTGTGGTCGAGAGACGTTGAAGAAGACATCATTCCTACTTGCAGGTGCAGAATCTTCAGCAACATTTCTCTTTCTTGATAGAGTTATGCTATGCTCATCTTGTAATGTTCATTCTTTGCTTTGCTTTACTTTCTCCAGGGAACTCGGGATTGGAATTGTAGCTTATAGTCCTCTGGGACGGGGCTTCTTTGCTGCAGGACCAAAGTTCATTGAGAATATGGACAATGGTGACTACAGAAAGGCAAGTCCACAATTATATGAATGTTCAGTCTCTTTTAAGCACTTTCAAGACAAGAGCCGAGTATCAATCATCTCAGTATGTTGTTGTTCGCTTTATTCCAGGGTTTACCGAGATTCCAGCAAGAGAACCTAGACCACAACAAGATTCTCTATGAGAAGGTCAATGCAATGGCAGAGAAGAAAAGCTGCACTCCTGCACAATTAGCTTTGGCATGGGTTCATCACCAAGGAAATGATGTCTGCCCAATCCCAGGAACCTCCAAGATCAAAAACCTTGATCAGAACATAGGAGCTTTATCTGTCAAACTCACTATGGAAGAGATGGCCGAGCTTGACGCCATGGGTGGTCCAGATTCTGTGAAAGGGGAAAGGTCAGCCACCTATATAGTTACCTACAAGAATTCTGAAACTCCACCATTGTCTTCTTGGGCTTCATAAACCAGCTGTTATAGTCTTACTCTGCCATCGTGCTGAGCTATGTCTGAACTTCTATTCATTATAGTCTTTAAGCTACATTATTGTTTGTCTGTTTCTGTCTTAAAGTAATAAAGCTTTTTAAAGTAAATCTCTCATTAGGACTGAAGATTCTGCAAACATTAGAACAATGAATTGAGAAATGTGACAAGACGTATATACAATGATTTGTGTCACATCACGACTTAAACCATGAAAATGAAGTATAAGAACCTAGAGGATGATAAATTATTACCTTAACTAGAAGTTGTATTACACATAACCGGCCTCTGAAGACCACTCAAAAGAACTGTCATAATACTAATTTAAGCCTCAACAAGAAGATTACAGCAAAAAGCTTTTGAGTTCCATCAACCTATGCCGTCTTCTACAAATTGCAAGGAATCCTATGTTCGATTTACGGCCAAAGCATTTTGTGCGTATCAAAGACTTTTACCTTGGCTTTAGAAGGATTGTAGTTCATTCTTCTCAGTCAAATTTCCCGAGAGCACAAGGATTTTACCAATATTGATTATTGAATCTCGTGTTCTGAAGCGGTGTCTGCAGTTGATAAACATTGCCATGTCATTCACGGAAACATTGCCATGTCATTCACGGAAACATTGCCACGTACCAGGTTCTTGTACTATTTACTTTAGCATCGGTCAAAATCCCATCAAATTCTCGGCTCTTGCTTCAGGTGGATGCTTGATGGAATGTTGTACGATATTGGCTGTGAGACAGGGAAACAATCCACTAAACACATCAAGCATGGCCATCTTCCAAGAGAAATGCTCAAGATATCAATAAACTAAAAAACATTAATGGTTTCTGTGTTCATAATTATATCTTTATATGTTTCACTTTTAGGGTCAAAGAGCGCTAATTATTTGAGGTCACATGGAGAAATTTTCAGGATTAGATATTTTGACACATATAGCAAAATCTATTACCTGTGTTGTACTCGACAATAAATTGCTTGCAAGATCATCATTAATTGAAACTGGTAGAGCTGGCATTCGACTCATGATACCAGGCATCTCCTTCATGCTGCAGAAGAAACTAAGAATTTAGCAATTGACGCTTTAATTATAAAAAAAGTGAAAAGAAGACAGATGACATGTCTCAATTGTGAAAAGTGAATTAGTATTAGATCCACATACTCAGTCAAAATGGCGCTGATATTGTTTCTTGCCTGATAAAAGAGACTGATGTTATCCTGCAGCTGTATGCACTAAGTTAGGATATCTATGTGCGAATTAAGTTGCAAAAGGAAACAGTGTCAAATTTTTTCTAAAGAATATCTGAGCATGTGGGAAATCTGGTATATAATGTTTGATTAAACATTTAAGACAGTTTCAGTCTGTCAATCTTCTCGCACAACTAGCCACAAAGGATTGCAAGTATAAAATTACCTTGCACGCAGAGAGGTTGTAAGAAATCTGACTAAAAGCTTGAGCATTTTGCTGTAGAAGATCCATTACTGCGTCACTTAAACCTGCGAAGAGTTCAACAAAGGTACCTAGCTGACAATTTGATTTTGTTTATTTTTAAGACCACACAACCCAGAAGAAGAGCAAAGAATTAAAAGAGCACTAGACCTTCAAAAGGCATGCGTGTACTGTGGCACATATTGTTCATGACATATAAAGCATTTTGTTGTGGCACATTGGATAGCATGTTCAGTTCTGGGGATGTATCCACCACCTTACCATGAAGAAGCATGGTCTTTAGAACCAAGTTCAAAAGCATATTGATATACAGAAGTTCATAAGACCCAGGAAGGAGAATTTGCATGATATGAAATACACACACTAACCCTTTATCAATTGTCATAACAATCACTATAATACCCTATATATATCATTATAAACATGCCTCAGATACTCATGTTAAAAGTAATATATGCTAATACTTCTGCATAGTTGGATCCAAATCATTTGCTGCTCATCAGTCATTGAAAAATCGATCACAAACTTTACTGATTGTCTAGTCATGTACAGAAAATACCAAAAGTAGTCTTTTTTTCTTTAGTCAAGAACTACAAATTATGTTCATACAGCTGCAGGATAACATCAGTCTCATACAAGTAATTTAGCCAATTACAGTTGAGGATCTTCGTTGAAATACTACAGTTAGCACAGATTTGCATGAAAAATAGTCACATATTTGGGAAAATCCCTTTGAACCCAAAACGTGAATGAGGCCATCTACCTCCATCAACTTCTTAACTAGTAAAATACGATACAAGAAAGGTTCAGGTGAGCAAGCATACCTTCCTATTGCTAATGTTCTTAGCGGCATTATTATCTTCTCTTTTCCTTCGTTTTCTCTGTGAAAATAGATGCCCGACTTAGCCAAGATAAACGTAAAGATCATGATAGATATCTAGTGAAAGATAAAATGAAGGCAAACAAGCACTAATGAAAAGAAAAAGGAATAAAGTTGGAACTTCATGTTTGATTACATCATATATCTGATTGAAAACTCCAGTCAATTATGACAGGACAGAGATATGAAGGAGATGGAAATATGATGATAATAAAGCATTAGTACTTCATTAATTCATTTCGTTCCACATTATTTATTATGCAAACAAAAAACAATTAACATTATGATGTATGTAAATCATGCTGCGAGCAATATAATCATTTTTAAAAAAAATCCATAAATTTTTTGTAACTTCTAATCAAAGATAACACGCCAATATAATTTTCTTAAACTCCAAAAAGTATAGGGATCAGTTTCAGCCATCACCCATAAAAGTAAAATCTTCTATGTCAGGATAACTACAGAAATAATTAAGAAAAAGCTTTAGGCTTATTTCCTTTTCCAACAATTCCCTCCACAATCATGGACTCGAAAGCTAATATAAAGACTAATCTAGCGTCAGCAATACTTGTCATTTTCTCTTTTTGCTCGTCCTTTACCAGTGTTTAGACAATCTTTACGACATGGCAGTGACTTTTCATCAATAAAACCTCTAGCTTTTTCGTAGGACTTTATCTTTATCACAAAGCACACACGCAAGATTACATCATCATGCTGATTCCCTCATATTTAACATATCCTTTTAACAGTGACAGAAATATCCCTCAAGATAACTACTTCCATATCAGCCACATACAACTTGAAAAGGAATGCTAGAAACAGCTAATTAATTCTCTAGCAGAAGAAATATCCTTGAGAGAAGTCTAGAGTGGTAATTTTTCTTATCATCTAAGGAAAAGCACATGAACAACAAGAAGTATGGACACAAGCTCAATGAATCTTAACCAAAACCAAGACAACATTACGAACTTACCGTCATCCATCTACACCTCAATGCTACATCTCTTACAGTTTTATCCGGTAGAGTTGCAGCGATCTTTACATACTTTGAAATTTTGGGTTCATCTTTTAATCTACAAACGGAAAAAAAAAAAAAAACATGTCATGCATGCAAACAAATAACCTCAGCTAGTTTCCCAAGAAAATCGATGTATGAGAAACAACTTGCCCTGAACTTACTAATGGTCCCAGTCCCAGAAAACAATGTCATGGAACACACAAAGGCGATACTTTTATAATTAGAAGGAACAAAGGAACATACTTTAATAGTCCACCATTGAGAATATAATGTGCCCACTACTACTTCTTATAAAACAATTCCCGATTTCAACTTTATGGTATTGTTATTGTAAAAATATAATCGTAGTTTGAAAAGCTACGAATGAACAAGACACATTGCATATTAAAAAAATAACAAATGGAAATATCCTAATATGTAGCAGAAACGAAGATACCTACTTTGCAAGGCCGTTCTCCAACACATACTGTTCCTCAACGGACCAATCCATAACCAAAGCAGCTTCTTGTTTGACTCCTGCAGTCACCGAACCCGAAGAATCCACAGCTGGGTGAAACCCGGAAGTAGTGTTTATCCCATTGACACCGTAATTGGTCGGGAATACAAGACCGGAGGTGCTAGTACTTGGCAAGCAGTGATTATCCATTGGAATCATTCGTGGAGATTTGATAATTGAAGCTGATTTGAGCTACGAGGATGTCCCAAAGTTATCAAATTTAGGGTTTTAGCAAATCCAGAAACAAATAAATAAAACAAAACCCGGGAAAAAAACAGCTTAAAGAGCGTAAGAGGAGAAACCCACCTCAGATTTGGCATCAACGAAGAAGATAGAGGGAAGCTCTAATCAGCGCCAGTGATGTCGTAATTAGAGATGTAACCGACAAGAGAGAAAGCAAGCTAACACCTCCGAGATGCTCCGGCGAGCAGTAGAAATTATAAAGGATGTGATGAGCAAAGAAGAGAAGATCGATCAGAGAGTGGCAGCTAATTGAGAACTCCAATGGGAGAAAATCGAGAGAGAGAGAGAGAAAGAAAGAGAGTGTGTTTGTTTAGTAGTAATTGGCTGTTGTTTGTTTCTTGCAGAACCACTTTGTTGTATTCATACGCCTTTGCTTTTTTATTTGGCCAGTTTCTTATTTTTATTTGCCTCCGTTTCCTTTTTTTTTCATAATTTTTTTGTAATAGCAAATTAAAATTTTACTGTTGATTTTTTATTTATTAACAATTTAATCACATTCACTTGAGTATAGTTTTAGATTTCTAGATAATTAAAAAACCAATGAGCTTTAGCTTTAGAGTTTAAAGATATCTAGGCATCAATATGTAGATATCAATCTAGATTTGGATGGAGATCTTGGCATATTATGAGTATCGGTTTAAATTTAGATTCATTTTCTGATTGTAACTAAACATCAAAAAAAGTGAACTTTTCTTCTATTAGTATAATGGTGGGCGTCAGAGTGACCCATGACATCTGAGTGGGCATTACATATATACAAAATTGTTTTTTTTTCTTACCTAAATATTCATTTAACACTATTAAACACTCGTTGTTAATACTAATCAAAACCCACTTGTTGGGTTTCGAACTCACACATTGTGGTTAGAATGTTAAGCCAAAATAATAGAGAACATTATAAGTTAAGTATCACAAACAATAAGGCTTTTTGTATTTATACATTGTTTTTTTCATTCTAATAAGGTCAATTGCTCCTTAAGAAGTCTTTATGATGACAAAGAATCTACCAATGAAGCCTAAAGCTTGCACCTTGCATTAGCGGGTGAGCAAAATATGCCCCAACCGTTAACGCAGTGATTGCAAGATATGGCAACCGAACAAATTCTTTGTAGTAATCCTCAGGCAAAACTTGCCGCCCTTCGAAAATCGCAGCAAATGGAATCACACTTGTTCTCTTCTTGATGCTTTCAAAAGCCTCTCCGTATCTTTTAGCTAATCTCCTGTCTCCATTCCACGCCCCAAACAAATGGTGTGCAATCAAACCGAGAGAAGCCGATGCAGCTACTGTGTTTCCGATCCAGAGAGTGTGTGCTACACACCAAACAATTTGTCCAACCATCTGGAGAAGATCAGAGGAGAGAGGTGCAACAATCAAGTCTCATTAACACAGCCGTAGAATAAAGAGAGAAGAGAACAAACCAAAACTGAAGCTAAAATGCCTATCTTTCTATATATCATCAAGTTTTTACAAACACATGAAAAAGCAATTGGTTTAGAATTTAGAGATCAAAAGCAATAGTGAGTAAAGTAATCAAGTATTGATGTAATATACACAGCAGAATGAGGAGATTTGATTGTGCTGATGTAATGGGTACATTAAGGCAATGGCCAATACCTGCACATGAGTGATTCTCATGATTGGGGTCTCATTAACACAGCCACTAATAAACCTCCGGTTATAAAAAACCAATCTTTCTGTACATTTTCAAGTTTTTGAAACACAAAATGAAGCAAACCATCCTCATACGTAGGCATATTAGGGAAATGTTCAATACCTGAGGATGCCGAGTGATTCTCATGATGCCGGTCTCCCAGAGATGCATCTTCGGTTTGTCAACCGCTGCTACCTCCAGAAGATTGAAGGTTGAAGGATATAGAAAGAAGAAGGATACAAAATTAGCGACCCAAATAGCTTCATGGACTCCAGGAACACCCTGAAGCTGCCATAACTGTGAGCCATCGTATCTATGGTTTATAAAGTAAACCTGAAAGAAGAACAAGGCATTGCATAAACCATAAGAGAACTCAAACAAGTCTTTATACCACTGATCAGGAGAAAGTTTGCAGAGTTAGAAGAAAGTACTCACAATGGTGCTCATAGCTAAAGGAAGAGAGATTCCAGCAAACAAAACACGAAATGCTCGTTCACCTATGAGTTTCTCTCCTGTATCCCTGAGACTAGCTAAACCACTATGTACAATTGCAAATATAAGGATAAGCATTAACATAGCAACCTGCAAAACAAGTGGTTTTAACAATCAAATAACTCTCGATGATTTTGCCTTCTTGGAAATTGAAATTGGTTCAGTTACTGTTAATTTTTGCATACCTCCGGTGAGCCGGAGATGTTAGAGACGGTGTCGATGAATGATTTTCCGAAACCGGTGGAATTATCGATCCAAACAACATTGAGGATGAAGAGAACAACTCCAAGGATAACACCGAAATAAACCCAGGAAACAAGCTTCTGTTTCCCTAATTCAAAAGCAGCAGAATCTTCGCCGATCAGTAGAGTAGGACTCTCGGCGTCAGAAGCGACGGGTTGGTCTTCCCGGAGAGTGCTATGAACGAGAATTTTCCGAATTATCGGTGACGAAGAAGAAAGCAAGTTGGTCGAGCTTCCGAGACGAGGATGAGCTGGGATACGGCGGATTAAGGTGATGTTAGGACGGCGAGGAGAAGGAGGAAGAAGAAGAAGCGAAGGTGGGCTCGAGAGAAGGAGATGATAAACCGCCATTGTTCTTGTTGGTAAAAAATCTTTCGAAGAAGAAATAGTAAACGATGTCGTTTTAAATGCGCTTCTTGCTGTGAATTCTCTGGAATTTCTTTTTTCTTCTATAAGTCACATTTAGTGATGGTTACTGGTTAGTGATCATTTTCTGAATTTTTTTCCCTAAATTACCTTTTTTCTTGCAGAAAAAAGAAAAAAGAAAACAATTCCACTGACATTTCATACTAGTGGAATTTCATATAAAAAATTCCAACAAGTCTTCTAATTGCACCCAAAAAAACCAAAAAAAAAATTGTATTTACAACAAATTTTGCATCCATAGCGCACGTCTATCAGACTTGACTTCCAGCGAACCTTGCTTTGTACTGTTGCACTTCTTCATCTTTCTGTGATCATATGATCAATTCACAAGTTATAATTCAAATGCTACATATGGCATTATAACATACTACAATCCTAAAAATTAGAGAGAGAGCTATGTACCAGTTCCTTGAACAATGGTCGAGGAGTGCCTATCCTGTGGCTTGGAGGCAGAATCTCCCATGGTCTACTTGCTTGTAATACCTCTGCTCTCTCGTCGGAGAGTGAAAAATGTGGAGGCAAATTTAGCTGTTTGAATACCTACAGAATTGCAAGAGACAGCACTAATCACACGCTTGGCATTCTACTAAAACTATATAGAGTCAATGTTTCCGAGACAACTACCTCATGAGAAAAAGATGGCATGAAAGGTTCTAACAATCGTGCAAGAAGGTGTACTAAACCAGCAGCACTTCTTATAACAATTGCACATGAAGGTTTATCTTCCTTGTAAAGTTTCCAAAATTCGCTGGTCTACAGGGACAAAGTTGGTTAGATTGAACAGGGATATTTTTTACTTTATCTAGTTTGTTAATGAGAATAGAATTACCTGCAAGTATGCGTTCCCTTCACCCGAAATGAGCATAGCAGTTTTCAGCCCCTGCTTGAGCTTAACCTGCATTAAATGAACAAAAGCATTTATTAAGAACATAAGAAACCAGGCACTGAAACTAAGATATAAGCCCATACTAGACCAAAGTTCATATAATATCCCTCACCTTTTCCATGGCTTCAACATACTCCTCCACCAAATTCCCAACCTTTTCACTTAGTGACATCGTTAGTTGATGAGATTCAGCACCAGGAGCATCAGGAATGATAGACCCATAACCTTCACATCAGTTATAGTAAGGCAGGAGAAACATCAGAGACAGAAGCCTTGGCCCAGTTGTCAAAAAAGTATCTGTTAAATTTGGAAAGACATAACCAACCTGCATTTTCAGGCTTTGCTATAAAACTCACAACTCGATTAACAAAATTGCCTAGGTTTTTCAACAACTCGTCATTCAGTTTTGCTTGCAAATCTTCCCATTCAAACGATGTGTCAGATACCTAGATGGCCAATCCCCAGAATCAATCAGTGTTGGTGCATCTACACACTTATATAAGCCTATGATGAATGAAGAAAAAATGTTTCAGTTTTGTTGCAGTAACCAGTTAGTTACGTACCTCAGGCCTGTTGATCAGCAAGTAGTATCTCCATACTTCTACAGGGATATATGTATCTTTTACATCATTACCAAACAATCCAACACCTTTACTCTTGGAGAACTTTCCTGAAAACCCATACAAACACATGTCCTTGTTTTCAATAAATGACAGAGAAAGCAAAGCAAACAATAATAATTTAATGGTGAAACATCAACTGACCGCCTTGGTATGTCAAATATTCAGTCACACTGACTGTCTTCATCAGTGTCCAATTTTCCCCAGTTCCAAGCTGGGTAGAAGGAAACATCACCTGCATACCAACAAATTTGGCAGTTGAAACAGTCAGAGTTACAAAGATTCATAAACCTTTCTTAAGGAGACCAGGAGGTAGCTTCAGAAAAGATAAGAACCAAACAGACTTTTGATGTTCTATTTCAGTGAAAACAAGATGAAGAAAGAGGAAATAACTAAAACCATTGGAACAAGTTATTGTTGGTACAGTGTTATATGTACTCACAGTGTGAAATGGCACATTGTCTTTCCCCATAAACTGATAAAGCTCAACATTCTTAGGATTCTTCCACCACTGCTCCCATTCAGATGTGTAGCATGACGTTATTGAGACGTATCCAATAGGAGCATTAAACCAAACGTAGAAGACTTTATCCTTATATTTCTCATGTGGGACTGGAACTCCCCACTTTAAATCCCTTGTAATGCATCTCTGTTGAAGCCCTTCCCTAAGCCATGCATTTGTCGTTTGAAAAGCATTTCTACTCCAAGATCCACGAACAGATGTCCCGTTAATATACGCTTCCAACTGAGCTTTCAGCTTCGGGAGGTCAATAAACAGGTGGTCTGTGTCGCGAAGTTGGGGTGTGGTTTGACAGACCTGTTTGAGAGATATAAAACATAAGTACTCACAACAATCATCTTTAGGAAAGTCAATCAACAAAAACAGTATAAAATCAAGCATATACAATCCCATAATGGGATGATGGTCATGAAGGAGAGAAGCATATATAGCTCACCTTGCACCTCGGAGCAATTAGTTCAGTAGGATTCAGGAGCTTTCCACAGCTTTCGCACTGATCTCCACGAGCAGAATCGTACTTACATAGTGGACAGGAACCCTCAACAAGCCGGTCAGCTAAGAACTTGTTGCATGTATCGCAGTAAAGCTGAAGACACAATGTGACACAAAGACTTGAGCTTAAAACACTTTCTACTAAAGAAGAAAATATAGATGCTCTTGCGATCAAATAAGGCTAATAGGCATAACTTGAGTAAAAGCATTCACCTGCTGTATAGTGTTCTCTGAAATCAACTTGTTTTCCCACAATTTGTTGAAAATTTCTTGGCACACTTGTGTATGTTGTGGAGTTGAAGTGCGGCCAAACTGGTCAAAAGTCAAAACTAATATCAAACCAGTCATAAACTTCTTTATGAATGGAATGGTACCTAAATGCAGAAAAAAGAAAGAAACATGGTAAGTCCACTGATTAAGATTCAGAATTCTTATCATGATACAAATCAACAGATAAACCTACACATTGCAAATCCAGTGATTAAAATAGGAAAACAAGAGGCATTACTTGTCACAGATTTCTCTTGGGGTGCAATTCTCCTCAAGAGCTTTGGTCTCAGTAGCAGTCCCATATTCATCAGTCCCACATATATATATCGCATTATAGCCACGGAGACGACAGTATCCACTATCTAGCATACACATCAGCGCTTAGAACACCTGTACACAAACACACAAAACATTGCATAAACCCCGCAAGAAACCTGAAAATAGTCACCCTCACAGGCACAACAAATAAGAAAACCACAATATCGACAAGTGTAAAGAAAGAAGAAGAAGGATTCAGTTACATCCAATGATGTTTCCGAGATGAGGGACGTTGTTGACGTAAGGCAGAGCACTTGTGATTAGTATATTTCTTTTGCCAGGGATCGGCAACTTGGGATCATCATCCTCCATCGCGAAACAACAAGAGCACAAGCTAATTAGGTTTTTCTTGCAGACTCCGAAACAATTGAGAAAGTTGGAGACGAAACTCGGTAACTTGGGGCCTATCTTGCCGTCTTCCATCGCGAAACAACAAGAGCACAAGCTAATTAGGTTTTTTTTTTCTTCAAAGACTCTGGAACAAAATTGAGAAAGATGAAGAGGGAATTTTTGAAATCGGTACTTTCTTCTATAATTTGATATATACATATATATTTGGTTTACTAAATCCTTTGTTTATTAGGATTGTTAATTGTGCTGTGTCGGTTCCTTACTCCTAATTAATTGCACCATCTTTAGTCGCTCTAACCAAATTTGTTCCTACTTAGGTCTTTTTCCCTTTTGTTTAGGGTTTTGATAAACATAATTTGTTGCAAGGAAATCAGAGGTCCGATATCAGATAAATCTTTCAAAATTTCAATAATTTTTCATTATGCATAAAAAGATGACTTCCATATAGTTTGTAGTTTCAATTACTTCACAACAAAATAAATAAAAAAGCATCCAGGAAAAACAAATATAGGATCCGTTCTACCACCAAGTCTTTCACTTTCTCGACTCAAAAAAAAAACTTGGGTAGTTTTGCTATCAGTTTTCGTGCAATGCTTTGGTCAGGTAAAGCCTGCTGAAGTTCTGGCCAGCCACTCTGCATAGCAACAGGTAGGACTCATTTTAAGCATCTTTCAAATCTCAAAAATGGTGAAACGGTTATAAAGAGTTAACACGAGAACATACCCATTGATTTGGCCACAGAAGTTTGAGACTTGGTTTGTGATGAGGAAACTCTCTAGCCTTGATGGTTCAGGGATCGCCTTAAAGATTGGGTTTGAAGGATCCTCTTCGGGCAAAGGCTCTTCTCCAGCTGATTTACGAGCCATGTTCTCCGTCCTATAAACCAAACCTCTTTGTTAGTTGGAAGATCAACAAGACAAGTAAAAGCTGAAGACAAATGTTATATAGGGCATGGGCATTCACAACTCTTGTAAGTAAATTTGTATCCCCTTCCAAGCTAACAAGGGAGTGAAACAAACCAAACCAGAACTAGAACAAAAAGGTTCTGCTAGAAATATAAACCTACCTTCTCTTCTGGAGCCAGGCTTGCTGTTGTGCTTGCTGACGAGACAGGTTCCGGTAGTAATACTGGAACTGGAAAAATATATTAAGATTTCACATTAATATCGGTTGACTTCTGAGGATGAGAATTGAACAAGAGAGCAGAATAAACCACACCTTTTGCTGCTCCATAGATAAATCATCCATGCATTTAATCAAAAACTCCATATTGTTCTCAAGGAAAGGAGTTGTTGATGAGTGTAGACGATCATAATCGCCCTAGAAAGGAGAAAATAAAAGTATTAAGAGCCAAAATCTGAAATACTGACAGCAAGCGAGAATCACTATCCAGATACTAGTATATTGTACCTGTGAGACAGGTGTATCTGTCTCCAGTTCGGTCATAAAGGCACTGACAAGTGCAGAGTTTGAAACCTTGATCTGTAAAAAGAAAGCAATCGACAATGAAACCAAAAAATTAGGTCGGAGGGACAAATAATTAGGTAACCCAGTTAAAGATTTGCTGGCAGACTTCAACATCGAAGAGAGCTAGAGACTTACAGGTATTTCCTCAAAAATATCCATCCAGGAGAAATTTTTCTCTCTCAACCTGACAAAGATAGTGTTTAAAACATTACAACTATCCTATATGGCTCATAAAACTAGATTGATTATGGATCAAGATACATACTTCTCGCCAGTAAAGTTTCCGCCTCGGTACAACTCCATAAAGGAATCTGAAAGCTTCAAAGCCTTCAAAGCTAGGACGCCTAGGTCAGCTTTAGAGGGATCATATATGATGCACACACACCTCTTAATATTCTCCTGTAGATGCAGAAGAAATAATTTCTTAATGTTCATATCTTGATTTTGCAAGGGATTTGTAGCAGATTTGCGGACAAAAGTCTACACTTATGTTTGCATGGTCCAGGTTACACTTTACAATCAACTTTCACACTAGAATAGATGCCAATACAGCTATTGTACAATAGAGTAGCCATGCTATACATAGAAATTTCCAGCATAACATATGAATAGATCAAATCTAGAATGTTATAATCACATGGTACTACGGTAGACATGATCTTGAAAAGTACCTGGTAATTCATGAAGGTCTCAATCAGTTCCACAGTCTGATACGAACCAAGAACTGTAGATTGATACCTGAACAAAGAATTAGGGAGATCTTAAATACATTCACAAAAGAATATTTAACAAGTGAACTCAGAATGATGACATTAAGAAACCTACCAGCCAACAGTGTTGTTGTCAACATTAACCTCCCTCAGACATCTCATCATCTCAAGCTGATAATTCGCACCATCAGCTTCAATTTCTTCATCATCATCCCTGACCTGTGCTCGTTTAAGATACAGATAGCAATAAGTCACACAGGTACATTATCCAGAAATCAGCTTTAAAGTTCTTACAATGCGAGTAAATTCTTAAGCTTACCGGGAAAGGAAAACAATTGGTAACTTCAAGGACGCTACCAACATCAAGTCCAAGAAGCTGTCCTGTGACAAGGGTCGGTGCAAACTCCTTGCAATGTTTGATCATCTTTAGCACAGCCTATCACATAAACAAACAAAATCCTCAGTATCACAACTTCCTACCAAATGATAATGGGGCTAAAGAAATAGCGAGACCAATCACACCATATCAAACATCAAAGGTCAGCAGGAAACGAGGAGAAACCCTAAAAATCCTAAAATCAGAAAACAATATGAAACGTTACCAGTCCTTCGATCTGAACAACTCTAAGCGGAGGAGCCACCGCCTCATCCTTCGATATCGCCTGCAAAAACGACCTAGCCACTGCAGAAACAAACCACGGAAGAAACTCAGCCCGAAAATACAGAAATCGTCAAAACATAGATGCGAAAATTTTGAGATAGCGTGCAAGTGAAGAACGGAGAGAAAAATTGTACTGACTGGTTGCCATTGAAATAGTCTCCGGTGATAGTGAAAGCTTCCTAGGTAAATGAATTTGATTCTCCGCCGTGAAACCCTGACGAGGTGATATTTTTATCTGCCGGCGGCGGAGTTGAGTAAGAGAAAGAGCCTTTATGTGTTTGATAGGGCTTCAAGCTTCTCGTGGATCCGCAGATTTTTTTTCCCTTCAATTTGGGTTTAGAGAGAGAAAAAAAAAAAGCGTTTCACAATTAACATTGCAAAAGAGCCCTCAAAGTTTAGATTCTTGTAGAATGACCCCAAAATGTTTTCAGAGCTGTAATAAGGATGGACCCAGCCCATGGATCTATAATGCTATTCTCTTGTAAAAGGCCAGGACCATAATATTCCACCATGGGCCATCATTACACTAACCAACTAGTCAAAACTTAGAAAAAAAACAAAACAGTCATCATGGAGTCAACAAGAATCCAAAACTTTTAGAATTTTCCCTCCAAATTCCATCCGGTATTAGGGGGTTTAATCGAAAAAGAGGACTAATTCAAAGTCTAACATCCGTAAGACAATCAACTATGTCCTAAATATACGGCAAATACTAGAGAATGACTCGTATTAAACGTAAAACCAAATTTATAAAACGTATTAAATGTACTATAGTACGTTGAAGGTCAAAGAAGTCAACAATAATATTGATGCCAAATTAAATGACTGCAGTCTCTTTGCGGGGTTGGTGTTTGGACTGGTGGACCGCTGGTTAATAATTAACTCAGCCTTTACGTGAACTCAATTCTCACCTCTTCTTTATTACATTTTCATCACGCTTAAGCTAAGCAACTAATAAATTCCTAATTAAATAACATCCTCGATTTTAGTTCTAATAAAGATTGAATACCAACCATGAATGTTAACACATCTTAAGTTTCTTCTCAAACAAAAATCCAACCATCTACATCCTCATCGTAATAACATGAGGTCCATATACGCTTTCGAATATAGTATATTATAAAATCATGAGAAGACTCAACAACAAAAAGAGGTAGGAAAAAAAAGCAGCTCTCAATAATTGGTAGAGAGGGCAAAGAGGAACCAGACACCAATTGAATAACATTGGAAAACAATGTCTCTCTTTACTTTAAATAAATCATCTCTAAAATTAAATATACCCACCATATTTCTTCTGCACCATACCACACTTCACCATAAAATCTGTATATAAATTTTCTCAGCAGCAGTAACTACCTTGGCCCCAAAACCTATCTGTCTCTGAATCTTGGCAAAGTAATAGCAACCATAACAATAACGACAAAAAATACGTGAATTATTTTCTCTTTTATTTCCTTCCTTCGTCTCTCCTTCATAAAACCATTATTAATAATTTATATAATACTACTAATATTCATGAATGCATTGAAGAAGGCACAGTGAGAAAAAAAAAAAAGTTTTTCAGGCATGGCTTCACGTGATGACATCTTCCTCGACCAAGAACTTCGAGAAAAGATACTCAGAAAGTGAGTGTAAGAGAGAGAGAGAGAAAATGCCGGAAAATTTTAAAGCTTCTTCTTCTCTTCTTCAAGCTCACTACAACCAGACGATTTCTTTCCGCCATTAATGAGCAGAGCTCTCACTTTCTTCTTCTTCTTCTTCTTTTTTGACCTTTCCTTTTTTGCTTCGATCGAGATGCTTTAGCATAATGGGGCAGATCTGGAAAGTGACTTAATAATGGAAAGTGATGGCTTTGAGGAGATTCATGGGATGCTTTTTATGGAAACTCGATTTCGAACTGTATCAATCATTTCTGTTTCTTTCATCAGCTGAGGAGAAATAGTCTCTGTCTTTTCCATTTGATTGATTCATTCATCGAACAATGGCGTCTTCTTCTTCTTCTTCAATTACGTTTTTAGTAGTCTTTGCATTTACAGTATTCTTCTGTTTGGTTTCTCCGGCGAGATCCAGCGACGTCGAAGCTTTACTAAGCTTGAAATCCTCAATCGATCCATCTAATTCGATTTCATGGCGAGGAACAGATCTCTGCAACTGGCAAGGTGTTAGAGAATGTATGAACGGAAGAGTCTCCAAGCTTGTTCTTGAGTACTTGAATCTCACTGGCTCACTCGACCAGGAGAGTTTGAACCAATTGGATCAACTTAGGGTTCTTAGTTTCAAAGCTAACTCTCTCTCCGGTTCAATCCCTAATCTCTCCGGTTTAGTTAACCTCAAATCGGTTTTTCTCAACGATAACAACTTCTCCGGCGAATTCCCGGAGTCTCTCACGTCTCTTCACCGATTGAAAACCATTTTCCTCTCCGGTAACAGATTGTCCGGTCGAATCCCTAGCTCGTTGCTCCGTCTCTCTCGTCTTTACACGCTCAATGTTCAGGACAATCTCTTCACTGGTTCGATTCCTCCTCTTAACCAGACGAGTCTCAGATACTTCAATGTATCCAACAATCAGCTCTCCGGTCAAATTCCACCGACACGAGCTCTGAAGCAGTTTGATGAGTCATCGTTTACCGGAAATGTCGCTCTTTGCGGCGATCAGATTCAAAGTCCATGCGGAATCTCTCCTGCGCCGTCGGCGAAACCAACGCCTATACCTAAGTCTAAGAAGAGCAAAGCGAAGCTAATCGGAATTATCGCCGGAAGCGTCGCCGGCGGAGTGCTAATCCTTATCTTGCTATTGACGTTGCTTATCGTCTGCTGGCGACGGAAGCGGCGGAGCCAAGCACCGAGGGAAGATAGGAAAGGTAAAGGAATTGCTGAAGCAGAAGGACCAACAACTGCAGAAACAGAGAGAGACATTGAGAGGAAAGACAGAGGTTTCTCATGGGAAAGAGGCGAAGAGGGAGCAGTGGGAACTCTGGTTTTCCTTGGAACCAGTGATACAGGCGAGACGGTTGTGAGATACACCATGGAAGATCTGCTTAAAGCTTCGGCAGAGACACTGGGAAGAGGAACGTTAGGGAGTACTTACAAGGCTGTGATGGAGTCTGGGTTCATCGTCACTGTGAAGAGGCTCAAGAACGCAAGGTATCCTCGCATGGAGGAATTCAAGAGACATGTTGAGATCCTTGGACAGCTCAAACACCCAAATCTGGTGCCTCTCAGAGCCTATTTCCAAGCCAAAGAAGAACGCTTGCTTGTCTACGATTACTTCCCCAATGGCAGTCTCTTCACTCTTATTCACGGTATGTACCTTAGCTTCCGTCAAGATTCTTGTTTTATTGCAATGCAGAGATTTGATGGTTTGGATATAAACTTGGATACATTCGCCAGCCTTCATTGTTTTTTGTGTGTGTGTCTGTTTGTAGGAACTAGGGCTTCTGGAAGTGGGAAGCCTCTTCACTGGACGTCATGCCTGAAAATAGCTGAGGACTTGGCCTCAGCTCTGCTCTACATTCATCAGAATCCTGGCCTAACTCATGGGAACTTGAAATCGTCCAATGTCTTGTTAGGTCCTGATTTTGAGTCCTGCCTCACAGATTACGGGCTCAGCACTCTCCATGACCCTGACTCGGCTGAAGAAACAAGCGCAGTCTCTCTCTTTTACAAAGCTCCAGAGTGCAGAGACCCAAGGAAAGCCTCTACACAGCCTGCAGATGTCTATAGCTTTGGGGTCCTTCTTCTTGAGCTTCTAACAGGTAGAACACCATTCCAGGACCTTGTTCAAGAATATGGGTCAGATATTTCAAGATGGGTGCGTGCAGTGAGAGAGGAAGAGACCGAATCAGGCGAGGAGCCGACTTCTTCAGGCAACGAAGCATCTGAGGAGAAACTTCAGGCACTTCTAAGTATTGCAACGGTTTGTGTGACCATTCAACCCGAAAACCGGCCTGTGATGAGAGAGGTGTTGAAGATGGTGAGGGATGCAAGGGCTGAAGCACCATTCTCGTCTAACAGTAGTGAACATTCGCCCGGGAGATGGTCGGATACCGTTCAGAGCTTGCCAAGGGATGATCAAGTGAGCATCTAGAGAAATTGGCTGGGCCTTCTTCATTGCTTTCCTAGAATGACACGTGTGATTCTTGAAGTAGGGTTCATAGTGTAAAGCTTCTTTTTATTTTGTAACGCCATTTTGATTCATCGACGTTGTAGGACTTGCATAAGATCTGCTGAATTGGTAAAATTTGAGGTGCTGGTACTGAGTTAACTGAAGAACAGAAGAATCTTTTTTCATTCTTACCCTTTCTTTAAGTAACACGACATTCAATAATAGCATCTAGCCCCATGTGTAATACAACTTTAAAAAGGAAAGGAAATCAAGTTGAGTATAGGAACAAGCCTAACTTGATATTGACATGGCAAGTAACTAATTTGCATTGCTCCTTCATATTGTGCTCCAACTATTAGAAATCAAAGGAATGATAAAAAGAACGCAAAAACAACAAAGTGAAAGTGTGAAACAAGCAGGTGCTCTTCTGTTAGTAGCCTTTGTTTCCTCGAATCCTGGCTCTCATGTCTACCTAGAGAAAACACAATTCGACATCCAATGAGTCCAAGAGACTGTAATCTATTCCAACATCAATTCAAGAATCAATATTTTATGCTTAACAATTTTTGCTCTCAAGGTTGAATGTAACACTCTCTAAGTGTTCACAAGCAGGCTTAATCTTATTCTACGGCAGGTATGCTTTGTATCTTTTAAACATGATGGATAATTCCAAAACTACATTATCACAATGGGTTTAGAGAGCAAAACGAGGCTTTTCAAGTGGTGACAGCAAAACATACCTGTCCTCTTTTACAGTTGAAGTAGGTTTCTCTTAGGCCAACACACTCACTCGGTATACATGGGCTTTTTTCACCTGCGCAGTCCCTAATTGACCGTTTCTCACCCTACAACCCAATCAGAAATAAAAATGAAGTGAACTGGTAATTAGTTAACAGGTAAAGAATACACTTAATAGAGAGAGCAGAAAATCATTCTCTGCATATTTTCAGACATATTACATACTACCTTGACACAAATCGATTCACTGAGACATTTGACAAGCTCTTCAGCAAGACCCTTACAAGACTTCGCCATTTCAACTGTTCACATGCAAAAAGACAACCAATGAGCAACTAAGAAATGAGTTTTCAGGATATTGTGATGCTTAACCGCAGAGCCTCAAAGATCTACTGAAACACTCAACATATTCAAACATAAGATAGTGCGCAAATCCCGCCAAAGGCAACCAATAAATCAGAGCATGTTCTTAACAAATGAGCTATCAAGGTAATACAATGCTTCACTCAGAGCCTCAAGGGCGTGGGCGTTTTCTGAAGAAAGCTCTAGTATAAAACTCAACAACTACACATAATCTGAAAATCCCTCCAAACAAACGAACAACTGCACAGGTGTGTAACTATGAATGGTTTCACTTACTAGAAATCACCGTTATCAAGCATCTCGAACTCAAAACAACAAATTGCAGTTGAGCTCAACAAAAGAAGAAAGCTTAGCTATTTCCTATTGGGAACAAACCAAAAGTCATGTTTCAATTTAAAATCGAAAAATAAACAAAAAATCCTTCCTTCTTCCTTTGATGATCACGAAGAATCCAAAGACCTCCCCTTTCTAAGAATCTCAAACTTAAATCCTTGGAAAACACCCAGAAAACTCCAAAACTAATCCGATTAGCCACCAGAAAATATCTCACTTTCAATCACAGGTAAAATCCCATCTGATTCCTCTGTTCTAATTTTCGCCAACTCATTTTTGTCTCAAAAGAGTAAGATCAAGAGCCGAATGGAAGAAACAATTACAGAGAAATACAACACAGAGGATCTGAAGAAAGAAGATTGAAGGTAACCGACTTACCGGCGACGGAGAGTAAGAAACGGATCAATGTCGACGGAGACCCGAAAGAAAGAGGTTTTTCCAATCCAAAGGGTTTGGTTTTCTTCAATTTGTCCTTGCTGAATACCGGTCGCTCTCTCTGCCCATCGGTCAACTCAATTTTGGTTCGGTTTAGCATAATTAACCGAGTAAAAACCGATATAATTTGGTTTGATCGGATTCTTAATTCAAATTCGGGTTTAAAGAAAATTATGTTTCAGCTCTTTTCCGGTCTAATCAAGTAGGGTCAGGAGCATTATTTTACCAAACGTTTTTATTTGTCGTTTGTTTTTTTCTGTCTTGTGTGTGTACGCATTTTACATTCATCTAAAATGTGATATGATTCTCTATAAACGATTTGGTTCTAACCTCGGAAAAATTAATTTATATATAATTGACGCAGAATATGTCATCTCTTCATCGTTAAGTACATGGAGATCATCGAGGAGATGGTGCAGGTGCAGGTGAAGGTGAAGGTGAAGGTGAAGGTGCAGGTGCAGACGCAGACGGTATTCGAAGGTGTCTACAAGGCAGCTCACTTTCCTTCTTGAATAGAAGTCCAATATGAGTTCCACATGCTAGAGAAGGCCAAGCGTAGCTTGCAAGGGTTGATTGGGACTTCCAAACGTCACCTTTAGTTTTTTAACATCGATCATTGATGAGTCAATATATAAAAATAAACAAAAACATTGGAAAGTCTAATTCAGAGCTTTTATTGATTAGAGAAATTTTATCAAAATATTTAAGATTAACAAAACAATATACTAACCAGCTGCATGATGATTGGGTATACTAGCCTTTGTGTCTCGAAAATGAAGTGATAGACGAAAAAACATAAGAAGCAAACTTAGAAGAAGACAAGTTTGTGTTTTCATTGTTGCCATTGCTCCTCTCTCATGTGCAGACCAGTTTTAAGATCTATATAAAGAAATTTATGGAATCTGCACACGTGAAGAAAATAACTTCAGTGGTAAGAAAGTTAATTAAAGGCTATTTTCCTAACTAATTAAAACAGTGAAATTATTTTTTAAGAATATTTATTACTATTTATTTTTAAAAAATATATATTCATAAATTAGGGTGAATATTTATCTTTTCTTACATTCATGTCATTTTTCAACTGTGATATATTTCCCTTTGATGTATAATTAATTAATTTTTATACCATTAAAATATAGATTTTAACCAAAAGTTAAATTGTCATATTTTTGGAAGAAAGAAACATTTTTATTATGTATTTTTTCAATTACACCCACTACTTTATATTCATAAACAAATTTTGTTAAGCTGTAAACTTAATCTTCAAAAGCATAAAATAAAAATTTATGTTGCGTTTAGTTGGTAAAAATATATTATTTAAAATGTAAAAACAAATTGTATATTTAACTATTTAAGTATGATGTGATGTTTGTTGAACTTGTTTTTCATAGTAAAACTCAAAGGTAAATGCAAAAAAAAAGTTTAAAAAACCAAAGCTTCAGAAACTTGAAAAGTAAGTAAATAACTGTCGGTCAGTAAAATCATATCCCTTATACATAACGACTCAAAACGCTGTTTGGTCATGCCTTTGTGGATTCCAGTAGCTTGTACCACCACCGTGTCATTACATGGTTTTGCGTTTTAGGGTCTTCGAAAGGTGATTCTAATGAAGCTGTGCAGTGTCAGTTTACGCGCACTCGGCTAAGAGAAGAAAGAGCTCTTCATCAGTTATGGCTCCCATTTCCATCGCTCTCTCTAGCACGCTTAGCCCTCCATCGTCCTCTATCGATGGGCGTGCTCCTCTGCGTATACAAAAACAATTTCAGAAAATATAAGTTCAACCGTTTTAATTCCTTATCCAAAAACTAATTCAAGAAAAGTAGGTGCAGTGGAGGAGCCAAGCTACCAAAGAAACAGAGCAATGGAATCAACATGAAGCGGAACTAGTTCGGTCCAAAAATAGAACGTAAAACAATAAAGAGTGCGTTCCTGAAATGTTAAAATATACCTTCGCAGTAGAATCTTTGCAAATTTGTGGTTCCCAGATGATACGCAATGGTGTAACGGAGTCCTTCCGTGATAATCTCTTATGTTTAGGTCAGCACCAAACTGCAACAACAGTTCAAGCAAGACTGAGTCACCAATGTGACAAGCCACATGGAGCAAGGAACAGCCTTGAAGACAGTTTCCTGCTTTGTTGGATTCTTTGATTCTCTGACACACAGTTGGGTCATGTCTTTTCTTTACTGCTTTCTCTGCTGCATCAACATGGTGATATGCATCAATATCAGTTATATCATCGAACTTGGTGTTGATGATATTCACATCCCCAGTAGTAACAATCAGTCGATAGATTTCTCGTATGTTTCTGCTTTGAACAGCTTCCCATATTCTACTCGCAGCAGAAGGTTTTGCTTCACTTTCATCCTTGATGACTAATGCTTTCTCCAGGTACTGGCCCAAACAAAAAACATCAATCGGGTTTAGTAGTTGTTTTTTGCATCTTTGCCTTTCCACGAAGCATATTAACTCACTAAATGAGTAAACTGACATCGATCAATCATTCCCGTGAAGATAGATTTCACGACTTGGACATTAGGAAGTAACAACTAATGCCATACCTTTCCTAGAATGTATTTCTCCTTCACACTAAAGGAATCTTCTGGACATGGTTTTGAAACTGAAGCATGCGGCAGTGCTGATCTGTCTTCGCTGCAAAAAGACAATATACCTCATCAGCTACATGCATGATCTATGAAACAGGAGAATGTTGGAAGATACAGTGTTTGATAATTGATCTATACTTCAAATGCAGAACAAATATTTAATTCTTAGAGATCATACCAGTCATCGTCAAGGTGAAGTAGTCCCTCCCACAGTGAATTACAGTACACATTGCCCAAATTTCTAAACAAGTCCAAGATCGTTGGCTCCCACACTTTCACATCTAATGAGAGGGACCTCACCTGCAGTTTGTAGGGTACAACATTTATAACATCAGCTTAGAGATATAGCACTGAGGAGACACCAAAGAAAAAATCCATTAACCAACTTAATCAGGATACTTGACCCCTCCAAAGGTTATAACTACAGTGATGTTGACTTTTGCAAGAAATTTAAAAGCTGGTGGAGTTAATTTTACTAAGAAACTTCAGAATACCACATTGAGTTCTACAAATTCTGGATGACGAAGAGAGAGAAATTAACGACTTGGTGGTATAAGACAAGCTACCTCATACAGCAAGAAATCTCAAGGAAAGATGTTTAATAAATTGTTCCAAGAATAGTTCATACTTAATACCTTGGATATATGAACGCCGAGATTCCTGTGAACACCAGAGCATTGAATGCACAACAAAACTCCAAGATTTAATGATGCCCAATCGGGCTCAGGAGCATTGCACTCTGCACATGCATTATTTCCCGGAATTCCTCTGAGTATTGTTGAGACATCATCCCCGATATTCTGTCTTGCATCATTATGTCGAATCTGATCCCCGGAGACGACAGCATTAGCAGGAGCAGAACTAGTGTTGCTCTTATCCAAGAATCGCACTGGTGACTGCAGAAACGATTTGTATTAGCAAGAAGGCTTTGCTATCAGTTCAGTTTGTAAATGAAAGAGAAGCCAGAGGCTTATTGTGTCAACCTGTTGTAGAAAATGAGAATTGAGAAGCGTCCCTATAGCTGTTGTGATCTTATTTACCCAGTCCATCCTATCTGCTCCATTTTCAGCCTGGTGATGTAGTCCTTGGATTAGGGGACAAAGATACTAAATCTGTGACTGAATTGCACCAACTATATACTATCATTGTAACCAAAAACCAACCCATTTTCAAGAGGTAATCAAAAAGCAAAAAATAAAACAAGAATGACAAAAAAATATGCAGTGAATAAACGATAGACTTGCTAAGAGGGTCCATGCAGGTTGTCTACAAGGCACAGCTCTTTTTATATATAATTAATTAGGAAGAACCCAACAAGAAAAGTTCAGTACTACGTAAGCCCTGTGACTTGCAACCTAGTCTATAGCGAGTACACTGGGTACCTGAAGTGTGTAAGTTTTTTGAGGTGAAATAATTCTGAAACAGAGCCGAAGATCCATGTCTTCTGCGTCTAGTTTTATCAAAGAAGTGCGGAGGTCAATAGTATTATAGCCTAAGCTGCCCTCAGTGAGAGAACCTGATCGATTATGTCTTGCACGAAATCGACCAAATACGCCAGTATTATGGTCAGATGAACCACTATAGTGATGCTGAGATCCCTGAGATTACAAATAGCAGAAAAAGTTAACCGTTATAAACAAACATAAACTATGAATATAAAGAAAGATAAAGGACTTGCTTAAACTGTTAATTAGATGGTTAGTTCTAGAATCTATACTGCTATAGATATAAACAATAGCATGAGGAAGTGCCAAGTAAAATCTACATGCAACTAATCATTTAAGGCTTAATATTCCTAGAGCTGATAGGCTTTATATCAAAATCCACTATATTTTTAGAGACTTTCTATCACAAGATATCACAGAGTTAAATCTGAAAGCTAACACAGCAATCTCATCATTTACTCGACCTGTTTCTTCTCATTTATTGTCCCACCATTTCATAACAAATCTATTATTCATTTCAGGGGAAAAGAAGGACTTATAAAACAATCAATGAGATTTAAGAAGTTGTAATAATTGGCACGTAGAACTATAACCAAATTTGAAAGAACTAATGGACGTCTCTCATGGAAATGAGGCAGGAAAAAGAGGTTTGCACACGTACCATTGATTTATTACCATTAGTTCTGTAATAGTACATGGAGCCATGACTGTCAAGGACAAAAAACTTTCTTTTCCAATCAGTTCTCAAACTTGACGAACGCTTTAATAAATACCCCTGTTTAATTACCTGCATCAGTACAAAAAGGAACTCTGTAAGACTATAAGAAATTCAGCCTGTGCTGGAAAATTAAGTGTAAAATGGTCACAAAACGAGTCTCTATATGATGCATAATCACATTGGCGCGCAAGATGCTAGGAATAATTTTGTTAAGGGGTATCAGGAAAATGACATAATCTAAAATGTATCAACAGATGTACAACATTGAGTGGCTTAAGACAATTGTGTTGCAGATAGTAAAAAACAGTGACAAGCAAGATAATCTAAAATGTATCAATTCCAGTAAAAGGACTGTTCCATTTCCTTAACAGTCATTTTCCACCTTTACCCATTTCCCTGTGGTGAGACGAAAAACACTTAAAACGTTCTTAATCAATTGATCACCACATAAACACCAGTTTCATGAGCACAAAGCAAACACATAAGAGCTACGGGAACCAAAAGGTAAAACGTGAATTGCTCTCGATTCTTGCGAGAATGAAATCAGAAACGCTTACTTCCTTGTCTGCTGTTAAACTTGTTTCGGTATTTTTATAAGGGATCCCACCACGGTTTCCGTTAACACCAGAAGGTTCTGCGTTAGCGGCTAGCTGTTGGCTGTCTAATTCCGACTGGGTCCTGAATTCTTGAATGCGTCTTGCTAGTCGATCTTGTTCAATCTTAGACTGTTCTTTTGATTGCTGAGCATATGTTAATATCTGTAAGAAGAACAATCACAAGTCAGCATCAGTAGACTTCATTAGAAATCAGGAAACTTTGGCTATCTCATATCACATGTTTACTAGAGCAAAAACTAAGTCTTGGACAGGAGATGCTTTTACTTATGGGTTTTCTTTCTAAATCCAGATGAACCAAGGTTTTGGGATTAAAAGATTGGGAAAATTTTCTTTCATTTTAAACAAAAAGTTATCTTTCAGGTGTTAAGGAAAGGTAAACTTTTAAAACTTGAATTGATAAATTAGATGAATTTGGGCTTCCAAAAGCCTAAAACGTCTCTTCAAGACCTCAGTTCCTCTAACCTAATTATATACATCCCCTTTTGCACATTTAAATTCCCTGTGGGAACTATAGAAGCTCAGATTTGTTTTGCCCATCTAAAATATTGAGACATCAAGTTGACTACAAGTTTGTACCTGATGGATAAATGGTTCCAGCTGACTCAACAAGTCATATCCCTGAAACATAAAGAGGCCAAATTAAGGATCACAACATGACACAAATGTCAAACTTAGTTGGTCTTACATGGTAAGGATTTCAAATATGAAATTAGAGACCTTACAAGTTTAAAATATCTCAGATGGGCATCCATAATTGCACTTATAGATTCTAAAAACTCATACTTCTTTTTCGCTTCAATAGTCATCAGTGAATTTACCTGCATTCTTCAACCAAAGCAAAAATTTACTTAAAAGTAGAAATATAGAAAGTAAATAGCAATGGCTTCTGTTAGTAGAGTCAGCATACTAGATTGAAACGGCTCTTTTCAAATGTTGACTTTGAGTTCTCCAGATCCTGTCATTAAAAAATGACAGCAAGAGTAAGTTACCATGCTGGGAAAACAAGCACAGAGCCAAATATTATTAAGTAACGACAACATCTACATCTTGGCGAGTCATATTAAAGAGTGGCTTCACTTTACTACTTTTCTACTACATGTACGCAAACATTCCTATACTAATTACATATATGTATCATGTACACATACACCTATAGAACGCACCGACATGTATTGAACTACGCAGTCTAGAAATATGTGTATACTCATATGCACATATGGACACTTTGCTTCACTTTTCCTTAGTAGCCACGAAGAGAAAGTAAACAAAAAGATATACATAAGAAATAAATGTTCTACCTCTTCCAACTCCGCAACAATTTCTCCTCTTGTATTCTTCTTTAAAGACACAAACTTTTCACGCGACTACAAGCAGATAAGAAAACTCATTAAACCAGTTCAGATGAAGAATATCAGACAAAGTTTAAGTTCTATGCATTCTTGTGGTGGCAACACCAGCCTATAAAATATGTTTATATTAGGCGAAGGAAACAGGTGTACAACTGCATACACAAGAAATTATAGAAGCTATACACTCTATAACCAAGTACCTGATCATAAGAATGAGCAGCTTTATCAAATCGATGGCGAGACTCCTGCAAAGGTAGAAACAGCATAGGGTTGATTGGAAAATGACAAGCATAAGTTTTCGATCATATTATTGTAGTGTAAGAAATATGAAACATTTTTCTATTGAGTATGGTCAGTTTCAAGAGAAGGTACATTTATGTGGAAATCTGAATTCTAATCTAGCTAGATGGCAGAGCTTTCATGAGACAATTCATTAGATACATTTTAAGTGGTTGAAGTATGATATCCCATAAGGTTCTTTTCTTAATAAAGCCTGACATGCTAAGGCGAAAGACTATTACTCCGAGAAAGTTCCCACAATAAAGTGTTAAGTAAATTGCCTAATTATAGCAACCTTGAAAGCCGTATCCTTTTAAAATTCAAAACCAAATGACTGTAGAATTTTCACACAATAATAAAGAGTAAAGAACCAAAAAACCAAAAAACATAAATCTCCAGTTTATTGATCAAAGTTGAATCTATAAAATTTGAGACACTCAGTAGTCAGTACACTGGGAAAAAGAACATTGATCAAATTTAGTAGAGAAAACAAATACCTTAGCTTCTTGTAGATCAACATTGATAAAGTTCATCAACCTCTCAAGTAACACATGCTCCACCTAGAAAATTTTCCCCATAAAATACCACAACTGTTATATAAAGTGAGACATTGTTAAGGCATATGCACTAAAATAAATTGCATATTTGCCATTTTAAACTCAAACTATCTTAATTTTTCATTGCTCCTCTCTCCACAGAGTTGATTAGTAGCCCAAACTGACATTTCCAGAAAATAATCAAGAAGGGAAACTCTGAATCAACAAAGACCACTACACTAACCAAATCTTCATTTAAATTACCAAACAAAAATATGTGATTATAGGCATCTTTTAATCTTTACTGGCATTTATATTGCTCACAAGATACTAGGAGCATACCTGTGAGCAAAGAAACTCCTTATAAGAGGCAAGCTCTCGAAGTGAATTTATGAATTTGGATATAACGGGGCCTGGTGTCACTCAAAATAATAAGAATCAAATAAGTTAAATCACAGCAGATACACTCATAATTCAACAAATTAGTAAGACCACAGAGTTGGATGCAAAATCAATAACCTCCAATTGAAAGACTGATAGGATCATCAGGTCCACCCCCAAATTCTTCCAGACAATCTGCAAATGCACTTTCTCCTTTGGATGCCTCTCCCAAAGTCCCCCTAGAAAGAAAAGTAAATTTCATTCGTAAAAGTCACCCGTAACATGTCTGGCCACATAGACACAATGAAAAAAGTGGAGTAGCAACAAAATAATGTTACGGTTTAACTTATCACAGAATAATTGAGGAAAAAGTTGAGATGCCAGTAGATTTGAATTGCAAAAGAAAGCAAGTCATAAAGTTTTACATGAGAATGGGAAAACAATCGACAAAGCTATAATGGTCAAAGAGTTCTTCACATTTGCTAATCAAGTAAAAGAAGATACAAAATGGTAATTCCAACTTCCACTTTCAAAATTATGTCACTCTCAGAAACATTCCACAAATGATATTCTTAGAATCTTATGTCAACAGAAAGATCAGACAACAAGATTTAGACAGCAGAAAGAAAAAGGTAGAATTAGACATACATAAACTTCTTAACACCTTTGTATAGCTTCTGACAACGATCTTTAAGCTCATCAGCTGTCCCCTCCAAGGAACAAACCTGATTCAATCAATTAGAGCAGACACAAGACAACAATTTAGGTGATAAAGTCACACACTTTATACCAAAAACCCTGAATTTGAAATCCCCAGAAGGTAATATAACTCCCCACCAAAGCTTATCAATTTACCTGTTTCTGAAACATTGGGGAATCCTCCAGATTGATAAAGGTCGCCATTGGTGAACCAAAAAGGAAGAAACTTTCAGACCAAAGAGTGAAGATTCGAGTTGAGTGAGACAAGTGAGTCGAATTTTGTGTTTCTGATTTGGTCGGAAATGGATCTGGCGAGATCCAGAGGCGTTTTCTAGTTGGTGATGAATGATGATGGTGATTGCTTTGGAAATAGCTAGAATCCACATCTTTTTCATATTTTCAAATATACCCTTGTACGTATCTTAATTTTTAAAACATTTGTTTTTCATGTGTAATTAGAAAATAGTGTTTTGAGTCAAATATTTTTTAGTTCATCTCAAATAATGCATGAAATTCAATTTCAGCTTTTAATGATTCACTAAAAATATAATTGTAGTGTTTTGAAACATTGTAATGTTCATTTATTAATTTGATGGGAGCTTGTTGAAAAAAACTTAAGACGTTTTACAATATAAGTCAAACAATTCTATAGAATTGTGATTTTCTCTAAACAAGACCTCTCATGTGAAATGGTTTCCAAAGCTTTGTGTTTTTTGTTGTGAATCCTCTCCATCATCTTTCTCATAGACTTAATCTCATTCTCTGTCTTCTTTATCTTTCTTTCTCTTGACTCTATCTTCTTCCTTCTTTTCACAACTTTTTTCCTCTTTTGTTCACCTTTTGCCTCCATTGCCTATAATAAATTAATTACAGAATTGGCTAATTCGGTAATCATAAATTCATAATAAAATGGAATCAAGAAATCCGGTTAGACCTGAATCTGGTTGCGTAAGTCCTTGGTAGAAGGTAATAGTTTCCATAGAGAAGCTTTAGAAGGAGCATTAATAAACACTTGATCTCTCTCACATTCAAGTTCCCGTTGCTTCCTACTATATGTTTCTTCATCGATTGTGCTTGCGCTTGTGTTATTTAAATATGGCCATTTCCTCAAACAACATAAGTTCCTCATCTGCTCTAGATGTATAAACAGATTAGAAAGAAAAAAACATCTGACATAACACACATGAAAATACATCAATCACAACAGCACTTTCAATTTTTATATACAATTCTGATATATTAATTGAAAATCAGATTTTTAAAAAAGGTTACATAAGGTATAAAATACACTTAACTTGTACTTCAACATGTGCAAGCGAAAAACCAGAGTCGATATCCTTATTTGGATTCAGCATCTTAAGAAGGCGTCTCTCACCATCCATGCAGTGCGCCTTGTGTAACATCTGATGGTTTAGATTCTGTAGTATAATAAAAGAAAAATCGGTTTGTATAATTTTTAGATCATTAATAATTACAGATCAAACTGAGAATATGTGACAAGGGTTTCTAACTTGGATATTAATCTCTCGTTCCCCAGACGAAAATGATACAACAGCCTTCTTATCACGATATGCGTTGTTAGCAAAAGTTAGTTTGTCGAGCACCATTTTCTCGGGGAAATTTGATCCAAAATTCACCACCTGCTCGTAATCCTCAATCGGTCTCCATCTATGATTCAAGTTGTATTCTAGTCCTGATATGTACTGTTCAAGAACAATCTGTAGTGCTTGAGAGTAACATTCACCAGCTTAGTTAATTTGATCCATAATCCATAATATTATATATATATATATATATAGATAATTAACGATTTCACAACAAATATACCGTTTTCTCTCTGAGTTCTTTGTCGATTTGAAGCATTTGTTGTTGCATTTCTTCTACCATCTTCTCATTCTCTTCTATTGACTTCACGTAGTGGTATTGATTCCTCTTGGGTCCAACAAGATCATGATGTCCTACATTTCGACTAGTTTTCTTTCTTCTGGTCTTTGCAACCTCCATAGCCTCTGAAAAATTTAGGTTGAGAAATGGAAGAAAGGTTTTTGGATAAAGGTTGACAAGATGGAAGAAAGTAGCTTGAGTTTATACTGAAGAGAGTTGAGACTTTGATATAAACTAAGTTGTCTCTCTATACAATTTTAAAAATTTACTTATTTGGAACTTGGTTTGCACTCCAAGGAAGTTGACCATTTGCCACCTTTTTATTTGCTTAGTTTAATTCAACCACACTATAAAGTACTCCGTATTTGATAAGTTGAGAAATATCTACAAGTTTTATATATTTTTGCACATATTGGAGTAGATTAAATTCGAATAAACTAATATATAGTCTCATCACGAGATATTATTATATGAATGAATCTCTTGCGATTTAATATAAACAACAAGGAATAAAGTTCTCAAATTCCATACAAATATGGAGCAATCTTCATGAGAGGCTCGAGGGTGCTCACATGAAACTTCCTCCCGAAAAGAAAACACACATTCGTCACCTCACCTTCGTAGCTACAATTCGACCCGAACCGGATCCGGTCCAAGAACCCGACTCGAATATCTTTCCTCACAAACCTCGCTGGATGGGACCCACCCCTTGACCAATCAACCCACGTCACTGTCCGGTTCGAATTCATCTCCGGACAAATCTTGTTAACCAACGTCGGAAGGTAATGCTCGTCGATGTAACACGGCGGCCGGCAGTGATCCTTAAAAACTGCGTAGTACCGGCGATCGGAGACGATCTCGGCGGCGACTCTACGTGAGATTTCGAACCACTGGTTTCCTTTCCGCCAATCAGAGAGCGACACGTGTGGGAGCATTTTAGGGGTGTAACGGCCTCGTCCCATGGGCCTTGGGTCGTCGAATGAGCCGAGGAAAGAGCGAGTGGAGCGCGTGAGGTAAGTGTAGATTGTAGTGAAGTTGAAGAGAGGGATACAAGTCTCGGAGAGGAGGACGAAGCGTGCGTTGGAAGGTTCTAGTAGGGCATGCGATAAAAGACGCTTCTCTGCATCCATCATCGACGATTTTCCCCATTCAACAGCCTACAATATTTTACAAATTCGCAATGCTATACTAACTAATTAACAAAACCTAATTAATGAATGTAAATATATAACCATACCTTGCTTGGTATCCGTTTCCTGTAAAATACTGAAGATTCCGGCGGCTCTGCAGTGAACTCCGGCGAGGTATGGACATAAATGGAATAAAAACCTTCATGCCCTTTGAAGAACATTTCCCAAAGAGGGGACAACGGCAAATTCCACCTCGTTAGAAACATGAACGCAACCTTTGGATGGGTCTCATTCATCATGGCGCTGTGTGGGGCCATTGCTGCTCGCCACATCAGCTCTTCGTCCGCCACGTCATTACCAGAGCTGCGAGGAGGAGGAGAGAGGGAAGGAGAAGTGAGAGGATTTGAGGAGAGAGTGTGATAATCTTCGACGAGGAAGAGTGATGTTTGGAGGCGTTGGTTAAGGTAAAGAGCGAGGAGGATGACGAGAGATGAGACGGAAGAGAAGAAGACGACGGTGCCGAGGATGTGAATGTATCGGAGACTTATCGGTTCTTTCTTCATCCGTAAGTTGAGTTCTTTAACAAAGGTTGTAATCTTTTGCTTCTTCATTTTCCTTTCTTGTATTTGTTAATTTTTGTCTTCGTTCTTTGGCTTGCTCTACGTACGTCGTTGAAGTCCTCTTTAATTTGTGTGTGTGTATTAATATTAGGGTATATATAGTGCATGCATAATAATGTATAAAATAAGATGACCGTTTTGGCCACAAAATAAGCCTATATATAAAGGGATCGAAAGTTCACAATCAATTATGTTGATTGCGTTGATTAATAAAACAACAAGACAAATAGCTAAGAACAAGGAAAAATATTTCAACTTTTAAACTATAGATACATAATTAATAGAAAAAGTAGGATCATGTAATTCAATACTCAGGATTAGTAGGCATGATCATGTTATGTGTGATGTGTATATATGATGGACGTGCGTGGTGTGAGAGGATATGTGCATGAGAATTGTGGGTTTAGTGAAACGTGATTTAGTCAAGTGAAAAAGAAGAGAAGAAGAGCATGAAATTTGAGGCGACGTTAAGTTATTGTAATGCTGCTATAAGAAAAGTTAAAGTGTTAAATAGAAGATTAACGAAAGAAACAGATTAACAAAAGAAGGCATGCGTTGTTTTTTTTCACCTTACCAAAACTTAAGACTTGGTTGGGCTCAAAACCCATGTCGTAAATAGTAAGCCCAAAAGGCTTTCAATGTTCATAACGAACAAGACCAATTCCTAGATTTTACAAAAGCTGGCTTCATCTTCTGAAAAGTTGCTCTATGTATACCAATCCGACGAATTTTGCTGCTGCGTAATTTTTTACCCGTCTCCGTGTTGACTCTTGAGGCGATCCAACAACAACAACAACAACGCCGTGATTCTCTGGGTAAGTAGTCATACGATTTCAGCTGATTTTCCAGGATGGTTTCAATTTTGGTTCTCTGCAGAATAATATTTGATAGATTGTGTGTCCTCAATCTGAAAATTGCTGCTAGGTTATGTTTGCTATGTGTATTTTGATTCTGATAGATAGGCTCTTTCAATTATTAACCTGAGTTGTTGATTCTGGATTTTGCAGAGATTTGTAGCTGAGCTTGTTGTTATAAAGCAAGATACTGCTTGCTCTACGGAATTTAGATATGCCTCGGGACTTGTCAAGATCGAGGTCACCGTCTCCATCACCTTCACGTCGCAGAAAGCACTCGAGATCTCCTCTAAGGCATAGGCATAGCAGGAGGAGTAGAAGAGACAGAAGCCCTTCTCCATACTCATCTCATTCACATAGCAGGTGATACCCGTTGTATTTCTGCCGCTATTCGTTTACCTTAATTATCATTGGTTTATACGCGATAAGAATTGTAAGAAAGAATTGGTGGAACACTGTTATTAGATATGTAAAGTGTACAGAGTTAAGATGGTATCATCTGATCTTATCAATTGCTTTTACTTAAGTTCCTACATATTGTCTGCCCTTCTCTAAAAGAGAGTGCAATGTCTGGATGCTTCTGGCTCTCTATCGTAAGCATCTTTTGAGTGATGGTTCTTATTGGAAATATATCGTATTTATTTGGCTGTTTTGAGCTGTTCTTAAATTTGTGGTAAGAGATTATGTTTTATGACCTGAGCTTTGTTGTTTTAGGCAATGAAACCTGTATATTCAGTAAAGACATAAGTTTAGCTGGGATTTTCGCACTACTGATATTCTGATCTAGTTTATATTCTAGTTGTATGTCTAGATGGCGTGATTATTTTTTAGGATCAGTTTTAAGAGCAACTATTATGTTCTTTTAGATGGAGTTTGTTAGCTATAAAGATACAAAACCACCACAATTCCTTAGGTAAGATAATATAGTAATTTGTTGAGAACATGGCTGAGAAGCTAGGAAAATGATACATGCTCTTACCATTATAAAAAGCTCAATTTCTTCCCGTTCCCACGGGAGGGGAAATGAGCAGCTGATGGATTGCTGTTGGGTGTTCTTTCATTGATCCCTTGTCTCGTTAGCTTCTTCGTGTGATAAAAGTTGGAGCTGATTATTCTTTACAGTGTATGAGGTAACTGCACATACTTTTGTTTTCTTTATGTGAAACTGTGGGCTACCTGATGCCTAGTCTTCACGTGCGTGGTAGTTCATTAGTTGCATCTTTTGCTTACTACTTTATTTTGGGTAATGTACAGGCGAAAAAGTCGCTCTATATCTCCTAGGCGCCATCGAAGTCGATCTGTTACTCCTAAGAGACGTTCTCCAACCCCCAAACGATACAAAAGACAAAAGAATAGGAGTTCAACTCCATCTCCTGCCGCAACCCTTGAGTCAGCTAAACATAGGAATGGAGAAAAACTTAAAAGAGAAGAGGAAGAGCGAAAAAGGTAAATCAATACAAAATATTTAAGTAAGATGGATGTTATGGTGAAATTAAGGTTTTTTTTTGTTCTCAGATGTTATTCTAGTGTAGTGTGGAAATCCTTGATTGTTAGTCTAAAAAAGTGCAACAGGTTTCATGGTATTCTCTCACAGGCTTTGCTTATGGAAGATAAGCTATATTTTGACTTGTTCATATTTGATCCTCTGGCAAAAATGTTCATACTATCTCGATTTGGTGAGTTACCTTGAGTCATTACATGGATCATGATTGAGTTAGAGATGTAAATATGTCCAAAGCACAAGAATAACCATGGGGAAGGTTTGCTTGTGTTATGGTGATAAAAAATAAGTCTTGACGAAATTTATCCTTGGCGTTGGGAGGAGTGAAAACGGAAACGATCTCAACAATTTTTCTTGGATTTGGAATAAATTTTTGGTTCTTTTGCTGTTCAAGATTGAAGACATCAAGAAATGAGAAAGTCCAGGTGATATTCAAGGTTCTTAATCTGCTGTGGATGTCCTCTAATTTTTCACTATATTTGCTACCAGGCGACAGCAGGAAGCAGAACTGAAGCTAATAGAGGAAGAAACTGTAAAACGGGTTGAAGAAGCTATTCGAAAAAAGGTCATGGAAAGCTTACAGTCTGAGAAAATCAAAATGGAAATTCTAACGCTGTTGGAGGAAGGACGAAAGAGACTTGATGAAGAAGTCGCGGCTCAACTTGAGAAGGAGAAAGAGGCTTCTCTTATTGAGGCTAAAGAAAAAGAGGTAATGTCTATGAGCTGCTTTTTTAGACCTTCGTTTTTTAGGTGGAGATTTTTGAATACCTTGTTACAGAGTGACATGGTTCGAAAAAACTTGTCTTGTGGCGTGTTAGAAGGAATTCGAATTGCTTATTAAATTTGGTATCATAAATCTGTCCATCATGAAGCATTGTTGAAAAGAGAGCCTTTGTTTCAGGGTGTTATGCGGTGTTTGTCGCAGGAAAGAGAGCAGCAAGAGAAAGAAGAGAGTGAGAGAATAGCAGAGGAGAACCTTAAGAGAGTGGAAGAAGCTCAGAGAAAAGAAGCAATGGAGAGGCAAAGGAAAGAGGAGGAACGGTATCGGGAGCTCGAGGAGCTGCAACGACAGAAAGAAGAAGCAATGCGAAGGAAGAAAGCGGAAGAGGAAGAAGAACGTCTCAAACAGATGAAACTGTTGGGTAAAAACAAATCACGCCCTAAATTATCTTTTGCCTTAAGCTCCAAGTGAATGCATGAAGATAAAAGGATTGTGATGAAATGCATCTTTCGTCCTCTCAAAGATGCTTTATGATTATTTTTATTATAGTGCTTCTTGTTGGAGCTTAAACTCTTTTATGGCTTTTAATTTTTTGTAATTCTAGTTTCTCGTTTGTAATTTTACGTTAGGTTAATGATGATGCTTGATGATGATGAACACACTTGTCCTCCTATTTTTATCTCTTGAATGTATAATATAGCAATAATATTGATTCAGAAAATTTATCACTCCATCACCAATAACCATCCGTCTTTACGTCCAAAATAAAACAATTAAAAAACAAAAATCCTGGATTATTTAATAGTGATTACTTGAGGATAATCACATATTTTCTTGTTATATATGTAAGCTTCGAAAAGATTTTTCTAGTTTAGTTAAAGAAGTCTTGAGATTTTGGTTAGAGCATTGTTGGTTACAATGACGACGATGTCGGATCTTGACGAAAATATGGTAGCTGAGATACTTTGCAGGATTCCGATGACATGTCTGAAAACAGTGCGATCTGTTTGCAAAAAGTGGAATAGTTTATCCAAAAAATGGGTTTATTTTGGTAAAGCGAAGCAGTTTCTTGGATTCATGATGATGGATTCAAGGATTTGTTCCTTGAGATTCGATCTCCGCAACGACAGCGTCGAGCCACCATCTATAAAGCAGATAAGTATACTTGATCAAATTGAGGTATCTAAAATCTTTCACTGCGACGGTTTATTGTTATGCGTGATCAAAGACGACACGAATAGGCTCTTGGTCTGGAATCCGTATTTGGGGCAAACGAGGTGGATCCAACCCAGACAGAGTTTCCACAGATTAGACAGTTATGCTCTTGGACATGACAACAACCGTAACCACAAAATCTTGAGGTTTGTGGATGATATCTTCCCTGTCAAAAACGTGGTTTTCGGGTACGAAATCTACGATTTTAGCCTTGATGCATGGACGGTTCTTGATGTCACTCCCGACTGGCACATAGAGTGTTTTCAACGTGGCGTGTCTCTCAAGGGAAACACTTACTTTTTCGCTAAACAGAGATTAATATTTGAAGGAGAGGGACCGGTAGACATAGATATAACAGAGACCGAAGACTTTTTACTCTGTTTTGATTTTACTGCTGAGAGATTTGGACCGCGTCTTCCTCTTCCTTTTCACTCTTATTTCGACGAGACTGTGACTCTATCTTGTGTTAAAGAAGATCAGCTCTCCATCTTATACCAGCCCTTGGTGCCATATGAGATCATGGAGATTTGGGTTTCCACTAATATTGAGCCCAATGCAGTGTCCTGGAGCAAGTTTTTGAAAGTGGATATGAGACCACTCACTGGTTTTCAGTTTGACGTTATGGCTGGGAGTTTCTTCATTGACCAGGAGAACAAAGTCGCCGTGGTTTTTGATCTTGACCCATATCCACAATCCGAGACTCGTCGCTACCAAACAGCTTACATCGTTGGACAAGATGGTGGATACTTCAAATCTGTTGATATCGGAGAAGCTCCAAATATCTTGACGCGTGACAGCTACGGATATATTGGCCCCATGTATTGTGTCCCGCTTGTGTGCTCCTCTTATGTTCCAAGTTTAGTGCAGATAGATTAGCTAGTTTCATTTTTTTATAATTTTGTTTCTTGCATCTACTTTTACTTTCTTTCGTTTTTATAATTTCATGTCCTTTTGAACAAGACTGCTGTCTACTGCTGCTAATCAACTCCTCCTAATCTGTTTTTGCTATTTTCATCTCCTTGTTCAAGAGGTCAAAATCTCTCGCTAAACGATAAATTAAGCTTTAGTTTAGTTTGGCTAAAGTAGTAGAAGAGACGGAGTTGGATTGTGCTTCTGGTGACATGAATCTTTGATTCATCAACACCTTGCATTAGCTTCCTCTCTTCTTTGAATCGAGAGCTTATTGAATTCAGAAACTTCCATAAGTACTATATGTGTTTGGCTAATCGAAATGTACTATCGAGCATTCAAAGATACGCTGGAAAGAATCTCACCTTTGGCGGATACGATCATATCAAAATTACAAACATTTTCACTTATGAGGTTTTTGAAATGTCAATGTACATCAAGGATGTGTAAAAGCATTGAAAAGAAAATTTTTGATCCTACCTTTCTTCTGGGAATACCTTGTGTAGAAAATTGACAAAGCGTTTTGAGTAAATCGAAGGTTTGGTCACAGATATTGTCATCGGATCATACTGCAGAGACTTGCAAGTATGTTCCACTTTCTTCTTGGTGTTATACTCCTGCAAAATATCTATGATTCCCATGTACACAACCACATCGTATACTTCAAAGAGTTCAATTGTCGCTGACTCTTCCTTGTCCTCAATAAGCTTGTGATGAGCTTGGGCCGGCATGTTCACTCCTAATTGTACCCGCAGCCTAAAACAATAGATCCAATGACATTGTTCAGCTATAAGTACCGGTCAAATGAAGAAAGCAAAAGAGGAAATAAGTAACCTTGCAGTTCCGGGAAGAATAAGATCAACTTCCTGCTCGCCAACAGAAAATGCTCTGAGTGTGCTTCCTCTAATGTGAGGACCCGGTGCAGTATTAACGGAATTGGGTTCATGAGTTACCAAAAGCAATCCTTTTGGAGGAATGGAGAGTTCCTGAGCCAAACCGACTGAAAGAAAGAAAAAACGCGAAACGGTAAGTTATATACATGCCCCATTTCTTCATTCCTCAGTTGTGTAATGATCTTCTAATATAAAGACATGAAGTGGCTTGAAAGCTTGTCGTTAGGATACTGACTGATAGAATTCAAGCTCACGGCTGAATTACCTAAGCCATCGAAAAACTTTTATATGATGTGCAAAAGGTATCCTCTTGAAACACTGGCACCTACCGTCTACAGAAGAAACGCTTTCTTGATCTGACATTGCATTTGGAGGCTCAAGGATATCATGAAGTTGTCCAGGAGCTCTAAAATGTAATCCCAGTAAAAGACTGTAGTCAATGATGTTCAGCGATTCCAAGAATGAGCAGTCTAAGTAGATTTGCCTGCCATGTGGGGACAACAAGAAGGTTCCACAAACAATTAGAAACTTTCAAATGCAAAACACAGCTGTTTGATCATTTTTAGAAACTGTAAGTGATTTCAGAAAGCAGATTTATGTAGAAAATAGCCGTGTCACATAAAGCTAGAGGTTCCCTTAGCAAAAAAAATCGATAATCTGTCGTTCAGCAGAGTATAGCATATCTTTCACAACGGAAATGAATCAAACGATATAAAGAAAAAGGTATTGCACTCACTTGAAGAGGGCTTCCCGTAACAGCTTGTCCATATGAAATTCATAAGCTAGATCAAGATCTTTCAATGTGGTCTTCTCTTGGATTTTAATCTTTTCAGTAAATCTCCCTTGAGATGAACCCTTTAGATCATAACGACGATGAATCTTCAATTCTGTGCAAAACATATTCCCCATGACCACAAAGCGTACCTATCAAAAGACCACAAAGCTTATGCTAAAAAAAGTGGAAAAATAATGGAATATAAGCTATAAAAGGGACAAGAGAAGTTCTTACCTTTTTACCCCACTTGAGTGTTATTCTGTGAACTCCAAAAAATTTGGTTATAAGTGTGTTTTCATGATCCCCTACATGTTCATAGTACTTAGGCAACATTCTGAGTAGAACCTAGAAAGAAAAAAAGCTGGATGATTTCAGTCATTAGTATCTGTTATATAGACATTTAGAACGTTACCACCAAATACTAAAGAGTTTAGCAATATAGACATTGTTTGTGTGACATTGCAAGAAGGGCTTACAACATCACTCTAAACCACTACTATTGGTAAAGAAGAGAAAAAGTCAAATCACAGCTTTGTTCAGTTAGTTCAAACCTGCAACTCAGATTTTTTTAATGTCTTGATCACAAATCTGTCGTCGTGAGAAAGGTAGAAGATACTGCCACTTTTCCCGGGGGAAGAAATTTCTGTTAGGCCATCATCACCACAAATAGACATCATGTACTCTGCAGCATCTAACTTGAACATCTGCCGTAAATTCCTGAAACATTACATTGAAAATCACGCACAGTCTATCGATTTAAACAAATAACCACTTGTTTCAAGGTTCCACAAAACATCACGCACGGCTCCAATTTATACGGTTTATCGTTAATTTAAGTACTTTATTTTAGTAGTTTCAAGTTTCAACCCACTGGTTAACGATAGCAGAAAACCCCAGCAAGATCAGATCTTTAAGAAAGGTGTTCTATCTGATCAAAGGAATAACTGAGGGATCACACAGAGCTAAGTAGTTCGTAAATTTTACAAACCATTTAACTTGAGATCAGTATCCAAAACTAATATACACATTCAAAGATTATTTACTCTGATTCTAAACTTCTTTGGTAATCAGCCTGAAGAAAACTGTTTTACCTGAAAACCATAGGACAATAGTCTTTCCAGGAGAAGTCGACAGATTTGTGTGGAGGCGTAAAATTGGAGCCGTCTCTAGGGAAGAACATCTTTGTTCTAGCGTTCTTACCAAAGTCAGAAGCACGCACTTCTCGCCTAGGCACTGGTGTAATTTTTCCAACAGTATACCTGTGAAACTCAAAAGATTGTTGTGTTAGAGGAAGAACTAATTCTAAACCGATCTTAGTGACTTATGCAGTAGATATATACGGCCATCATATAAATATGCAAACAGGTTGTCTCTTGGCCCGTATGCGGGTCTGAGTCTAAAATCAAGCCATATTGCAGAAATAATACTCATAATGTGTCATAGACTATAACAGAACAGTCTCAAGAATCATGAAAATTGAGAAACATATTTAAAGGAAGTGGTTTTACGAAAGCTCTCCAGCTTGCTAACATAGTAAAAGGAAGTGGCTTAGGGTGTTGATTTAGTTTACCTGATACCAAGTTGGAGATTTAGCATTAGATAATAATTGTGTTCCCCCCTAAGAAAGGTCAGTAAAGACCTGGCCCTGACTTCTTTAGGACGATGTGGAGGTTTAATTTTGTGTGACCTGTCAACAGAACTCATGATA